TTCAGTTATGGTGATATAGAGGCTTGTATGGTAGAACGATCATGCTAATGGTAAATGACTTTTGTTTATGAAAAGTTGAATAAGCTAAAGTGGAAATAAATATTTACTATGGATGCTATATGCTAAAAGTTTATTTTAGTGCTTAATAGCTTTACTCCCATATGGTTGTGTATGTGAATTAATAGTAATGAATTATTCCGTTATTGAGATGTTATTTCACCCCGTGGTTATATTTTACAGGTCAGGGCTCCAATAGGGGCAAGGGGAAGGAAGGGGCAACTAAAAAGTAAAGAGCATTGTTGTATAACTCTTCTCTTTCATTTTTTTATTGAATTCTTGTATTACTTATTTAAAGGCATTCTTCTTTTCCTGATCCAATAATAAGCTAATGAAAGTGATCCTTGGTACAGGGTCTAGTTTGTGCAATTATGTTATTTTCTAGGTTTTGTCTTTGTAAATGAACTTAGTCCTTAGAGTTTTAAGCCTGTAGCTTTCTAATCGCTCTTGCATGGTTTGCAACCATAGTTTTTGGATGGTCACGGCTACTATGGCCTTTTTGTGGTCTGACTTAATCATCCATCAATCCTACGGTGGGTTCACTCCTCTGTGACGTTAGAGGTATGGTAGCATATGTTGTTGATTTGTATAAAGGAACTTTGTTTGAGGTTTCTTGCTAAATTACCCTTCGAAATGTAAAAAGGTTTACATCAGCATCGTAATACCTTGTATTTATAAAGTCTATTATCGTTGTAAAGGGTTTATCTTTAGCCCAGATTACTTCAACTTCGTCCCTTTTCCACATAAGAAGCATTTGGTGTAGTGAGGAGGGGACACATTTGTTAGCATGAATCCATTCTCGACCTAACAAGGCCTAATATTGTGTTGTAGTGTTGATCATAAAGAAAGTCGTCAGAGAGGATTTAGATCCAATATCAACTTGCAATGGCAACACCTTGAGAACTTTCGAAGCAAACCAAGTGAATCCCACTACGAATACCTCCGTTGGCATCAAGTCTTGTTCTTCCCTTCCCATTTTGAGCATTACACAAGATAGAAGTATATTTACTACTAAGCTAATGTCCACTAGTACTTTAGTCGTAGGTTTCCCATCGAAATGCAACTTAATATATAAGGGCATTAAATGTTGAGTCATTTTAATGCTTGGTTTTTATAGGACAGACCGTTTTGGCTTTCTTTCTATGACCTGTAGGGTGACTTGGCACATGAGGTCTGCTTTAGCCTTCCTTGCTTGTATTTACATATTTTCTAGTTTAGGCTCCTTGACCTCCGTAGGTTCCATCAGGCAATATTGATATGAACTTGTATGTGTTGCCCCTAGGTTGTTTTGTTCAGATTGGTCATGAGTCTTATTAGTGGTAGACCTAAATTGGGAAGGAAGCATTCATGAAACCACACAACAGAGATTGAGAGGTATCTCCCCGATGTGAATGGTCCCGTTCTATTGGTTTTCGTTCACACTCTTCTCATCCTAATCTTTTATTGACCTTTTCTTGAACTTACTTGATTCCTATTCGTTAGTATTTTCCTGGGCTTTAGCCTTTTGTTGCTTAAAGTACCTTTATGCAGCCCATTTACACTGAAGAGGTCGTTTCTGAGTTTTGGTTAAGATACTTGGGAATTTTTGCTACCTTACAACTCTCAACTTTAAAGGTGGCATATTACCAGGCAGAGTAACAAACATGCCTGAACTTTTAACAACCTTTAGTATCGAAGGAAGTTTTGCAGTGTTCTCTAAAGTTGTCAAGGGTAGTCTGTTAGGGCCCACATCCTATCCTAAAGATGTCCTTATTAAAGGTTCCCCTGCTCTTAGTGGTGCTGAATATTTAACAAAATAATTGAACTTGCCAGATGGTTCTCCCAAATGGTCCCAAACCAGCTTAGACTTGTCCGGGCCTTTTATAAGTAACCCCTCTAGACCAATGTCCCATCCTGAAGGTTGATTGTTGTCCTGCTTTGTTGTTTGTTGGTTTTCAAAATTTGAATTGCACATAGGTTCTCCTAAGCAATCCCAAGCTGCATTAGATTTATCTGGGCTTTTCATATTTTGCCCCTTTAGACCAACGTCCCATCACGAGGGTTATCTTTGTCTTGCTTTGTTGTTTTGAAGTTTGACCATCTCGTAGTTTCTTTCAAGCAGTCCTATATTGTTTTTGTGCTTCCTTGTTTTGCATCCTCCCAGTCCAAACATTCCAAGTCTGTCCATCTCTTCATCTACCATTGTTTTTCCTGGTTTGCCATCTGTTAGAGTTTATTTCTACCATATTGACTGTGGCAAATGACGGAAATGGGTCCTCGTCCATAACCATGGACTCCTCTTTTGAAAACTTCAAGATACCTTTATTAATCCTATATAGGATGACATTCTTAAAGCCTTAACAAGCATTAGTATTGTGACTCCAAGAGTGATGGTCTTTGCAATATTCCTTCCCTCTCTGTTCTTCTTTTGAAGGAATCTTATGATCAGAGGGTAGTGAGATGAACTTCTCCTTGAGCAAGAAATCAAAGGTTTCCTCTATTTTGGAAGTCTCGAAGGTATATTGTACTGAGTTAGGCCTTTTAGGGGTCTCTCTAGCCTTTCTTATTAGGGCGGACACATGTAGTTGCCTGTATTTTTAATTATCCAATTGCTACGTCAAGGTCACCAAAGTACGTGCCTACCATAGTTCATCGATGATGGTCTTCCTCTTTCAGCAATTCCTCATACCTACAGAACTTGGCCGCGAGCTCGTAAAAGTCCCTAAATTCCATCCCTTGAAACTTTTTACGTAGCTCTATATTGAGGCCTGCTTGAGCTACTTTAACAAATTTAGCCTCTTGAAGCGATACATGGCACTTGCTCCTCAGCCTTTTGAACCTCACTAAATACTGATCCACTGCTTCCCTAGCCTGTTGGGTGAGCTTACAGAGTTCTGCTATATTGACCTCTAGTTCTGCCTTAAAAAATTGCATATGGAATTTCTGCTCCATTTCCATCCAACTAAGTATTGAATTAAGGGGTAGTGAGGTGTACCATGTCAATGCCCGGCTTTGTGAGAGTATTTAGGAATAATCTCAGCTTTAAGTTGGCAAAGTTGTCATAGTTGGCAATCTCTCCACATTGGATAGTAAATCTTCCAACATGCTCTAACGTGGACTACATACCATTTCCTAAGAATAAGGTGAAATCAAGAATTTTGTAGCCTCAAAGGTATGGGTTATCTCGGTCTATGTATTCAGGGTAAGGGTAGGATGGCCAATCGGCCTTAGTTTCGGTCTGTATATATCTTGAATGGCATCCCTCAAAGCTTCCATATTTACTAATTGATTCAGCTGTTTGTTCTAACATTCTGAGACTATTCCCATGCCCCCCAGGCTGCTCGTGCACGGGCTCCTATAAATAATACAAGGGATTACTTAAAGGGTTAGTGTTAGAAAAAATATGGGGATTAGGATAGCCCCTTACAGCCATGCGGCCCTGAGGGCTTGTGCTTGCATTCATTCTGCCTGTTGTCCCCCAGGAGGCCCCAAGTTTGAGCCTGCTTCTAAAGGAGTCCCTCTTAAAGATGTGGCTAAATTCCTCATTCCATCATGTAAAGCCTTCATCATGAGTTGCTGTCTCTTCCTTTCCCTGTGTTTTGACGTTTTCAAGGAGATGGCAAGGAACTTTTGATTTTCCTCTAGCTATCTATCCATGCGGTCTTGAATTCCTCGTAGCACTTTTGCTACTTGACCGTTAGATATAATCAATTGATTTACTTGTTCACTTCCTGGTTTTGGCCCGGGCTCGTGCTGCTGCTACTTGTTGACATTGGTACTACGTGCTCACAATGTTCAGTTGTCTTAGCTTTAGGTATCAATGGTTCTAACCTTACGAGTGCAGAGTTTCCTTCTGGTTTGTGAGAATCAACACCTATTTCATCAGTCCTTTTATCCTTTCTTGTCCTTAGCATCTTGTTAAGTAGGTCTTATTGGGCGTGCCAAAAATTGTTCATCAGGAACAATAAATTACTAGGCATGCCAGAGACGTTGAGTCTCAATCTATGACAAAGGGTTCCTGCGCTCCTTTATCACAGTTTACCGAATGTAAAAGATATACAAGACTTGGTAAAACAAGTGTTTGATTACTACTAAAAAGTTACAAAGCGTAAATGGTTACAAGTCTGGAATGAAAATAAAAACTAACTAATAAACCTAAGACTTACGGGTGCAAAGTGCAAGTTTTTGAGTAGTGATCCAATCCTTCTACAATTTGGTACTCTATTTTGTGATAGTAGTTTCTTCCTTGAATTTAGAACGTTCTTATGAATAATCAGGAATTCTGCAAAATTCATGGCACAATCTTTTATCATTGTGTTCCATTTTTGAATAATTAGCCCGTTTCTCCAAGAAACTTAGGCATGATTATTTTGTTCCCTCAAAATTTGAGATCGTTTGATATTGTGACTTTATATACCAACGGTCTACGGAGTGAGTTTGCAACTGGCGGGTTTTTAACGTACTTATCTAGTCGAGGCTTTTCATTGAGATCGAGGCTGGCTCTTTTGTTTAGATTGTTGATTGGGCCTGACTTTTCAATTATTTAGCCCATATGACCTTATGGCCTACTCAAACACTTTGGTAAACGACGTTTTATATTTAACCTGAACAAAAGTATTATTGTTTAATTAAATCGAAATATATATTATTTATATATTTGTTTTATAATAAATTTTTATTATTAATATTGTTAACATATTAAAATTTACTTATTTTAATTTAATTAAATAAAAAAATATTAAATATATAAAATTAAGTATCCAAATCTTGGTTCGGATCTACTGGTCACGTGGTTTCACTTTCACACGAACCGGATAGGGGCGATTCTGTCAGTTCATGACTCCATTATTCCATAAAACGGTGATTTAAATTTTAATTTTAAAAATTTGAAATTTGGTGGCGATGCAAAAGCCCGCAATTGGGATGTTCCGAGAATCACATAAAAAATTCAAACTGCAGGGAACTGAAAAAAGTTTAAAAGTTTTAATTAATTTTTTAAATTTATGTTTTTTTTTGTTGAGCGCAGAGAAAAGCAGCTCCTTCTTCTCCACACGCCTTGGATGGACGGCTTTGTATTTTCATCTCTTTCCTCAGTTTTCTCAGAAACCAAACATCCTTGTTATTTGATAGACGAGACTCTTCCTGAACAGCTTTTGATTTTTTCTGAATGCTCGCCATGCCCAGCCTTCGTTCTGCAAGATCTTGCTCCGTGAAATCTTTGTTCTTACTTGATAATCCTCTTGGCTATGGTTTGTGAGCTGCTCTTGCCGCCTCATCAATTTTCTTCCAGAAATTGATAAGTTCTTAGTCTGCTTTGTGGTGGAAATCTGAACTCTTTCCGGCCTTTTCTGCGGTCAGTAGATCGGTTTTAAGGGTGGTCGGAGATATTAGGTGCATTTCTGTTTATTTCTCTGTTTCCTTTTGCGTGTCTCGTCTTTGTCCTTGCTCCCAAGTATTTGTAGCTGCTGATAGAAAAATGGAGGATAATTGAAGAGACTGAGAACTTGTATTTGAAGGTTATTTTGTTTACGGTTGCAAAGCGAAGCATTTCAACTTAATTGAAGTCATGTTTTTCTGGTTTCCTGGAGGGAAAAATATTCGAAAAATCGCAAAATTTCTATTTGTAGCTTTATCAGCAGCCGATTTTCCAGTGAAGTAAAATATCTGTTGGTGCAATACTTCCTGCATTTCCAAAATAACAAAAAGGGGCTTAAAGATGGAAAACTTCTTAACTTTCAGATCGGGAAATTTTAGTTTTAGGTTATGTTTACTGGAAGGTCGTATTGCTTGGGTCCTTGAATTAGGCTAGCGGGGTGTGGCTGTGTCATATTGATGATTTTGAATTTTTCAGCTTAAAAAGAGGCGGAACGTGTCCATGAAGGCTGAGTCAGGAGCACTGAGGAGTAAGGTCTGTATCTTGGGCTTTGGTCCCGTCCATTATCTATTTGTGTTCATCTGATCAAGCCATTGAGTAGGACCTTATTAAAATTTGAATGGACCTTTTCGTTGAAAACTGAATTTTTAAAAAACCTCTCTTTTTCCCATTGAAGTTGGCGCCGGTAACCATTCTTGGCGGTGGTAAAACTCTTGAGGAAAAAGTCTCAGACATCCAGGGTCCCACCTGCCATCCAATCTATCAAATCAATGCCGTCTGAGTTCAAGTTAACAGGTAATCCAACCTCTCATCTTCTGGGAAAAAGTCCAAATGTTAAAATGGGAAGCACTGACGTAATAGCATCGCATAGTCCTGAAAATGGTGCTATAGATAGGAAGGTTTCTGAGGAACTTCAGGATTGTGCCGGTGACATGGATTTCATCAACGAGGACTCGCCATATGGTGAAAAGAATACATCACTAGAAAGTAGGCACTCTAGTGGTGATGAAGAAGTCGATCCTATACCTCTGCCCCTTTCTTCAATCTCAAAATCTTTCTGGGAACGCAGGTGGAGTGATACAACACCTTATGCTTCAAAAATGGTACTTTTAGCTCCGAATTCCAATTTTTGAATTTGGTTCATGACACTCACAATGTGATTTCTCAGCTTGATAAATAGCTTCATCATTGTTGAAGAATGCTAAGTCTACAAATTTTTGCAATCTCAATATTTTAATTGGAAGTTTCAGCCTTAAAATTATGTTTGCATCTTTTTTGCATATTGGCAATCAATAATCAGTAATTACTTTATACCTGTTGCTGATTTAAGGATTAATTTATACACATAGACAGAGCCACAAAAAATTGTGTGTTGTTTATCGTGTTATTGATATTGATTGTTGATGATTTTTATTGCTTGTGAGTGCTCTCAAAAAAGTCTTTGAACTTAGACTAATCATATGATTTAAGCTATTTTTCTAAATATTTTTTGGGGAGGGGGTGCACTTCCGAAGTCATTAGTGGCTGGACTATCAGTTGAAGAACATCTAAGATACTGAAGTTGAATAGTTGATGTGAGGATGTGAAAAGGGAGATGCTTAAACTAGGGTCTATTTGCTTTTTTGACTAAAATCTTATTTTGGTCTTTGAACAATGGTATCATTATCAATTTAATACTTTAGAACATGACAGAAATTGGTTGAAAAACAAAGCTACATCTAGGTATTAGGTTTTAGGATACAACGGTTTACAAAATAATTGACAATATTTTAGTTCCTCTGACATATGCTTTGGCATCTTAGTCCTAATGTTCAATTGGATTGGTGTTTTGCAGAATGCTAAAAGTGAAAATGAGCTGATGGGAAACTATGTAGTGTTAAGTTCCTTGCCTTCAACAGTAGGAACAGGATTTAGTAAAACCAACGTAGGAAACATTTCTTCTTTTTATTGACTTGATTTCTTTTATGTTTCATCTGCATGGAAATTATTGGAAAAGATTAATACTTGCAAATTTGGACATTCGATATTACATGCTTCTAGTCATATTGTGGTGTCAATTAAAAGCATCCGTAACTTTCTTCTCTCTATTTTCACTAGCATGGCTGTCGATTGAATGTATTATATTTTATACTGGATGATGGGCATATATTCATGAAAGCCTTAGGTGTTTTCTTCATAAGATTATTGTAAATTGTAATTCTAATTGTAACTATTGTGGTTGAAGACAAGCCAGAGGAAGGAACTGAATGAATATTATTCAGTAATATGGTCAGAATATATACACGTACCATAACCTTCTATAAAAGGAAAAAAAACAAAAAAGGAAATAAAATCAAATATTACTCCTAATGACCCAATCCTATCAAATCTCTATTTTTATGGGATGTACCCAATCCTATCAAATCTCTATTTTTATGGGACATATCCCTCTAATTCTTGTAATTATTCTCACACTCCCCCTCAAGTTGGATCATAGATGCTAATCATGTCCAACTTGCTTATACAATTATCAAAAGCGGGTTTGTGTAACCCCTTTGTCAACACATCTGCTGCTTGGAGATTTGTCGGTAGGAAGGCTAGGCATACAATTCCATCTTCCACCTTTTCTCTAATAAAGTGCCTGTCTATCTCCACATGCTTGGACCTCTCATGTTGGATAGGATTCAATGCCATACTTATGGCAGCCTTATTATCACAATATAGCTTGAGAGGCAGATCAAGTTGGACATGTATTTCTTTCAGAACCCTTTTTAGCCACAACTCTTCCATTATGCCTTGAGCAAGAGCTCTCAACTCAGATTCAGCACTGCTTTTAGATACAACTCTCTGCTTTTGACTCTTCCAAGAAACCAGATTTCCCCATACAAATGAGCAATACCCAGAAGTAGATCTCCTGTCTTGGTGATGTCCACCCCAATCTGCATCTGTATACACCTCTATGTTCCTTTGTTCATGTTTTTGAAACAGTAAACCTCGCCCAGGATTTCCCTTTAGGTATCTTAGGATTCTGTATGCAGCTTCCATATGTTTTTCCTTCGGTTCACACATATACTGACTAGCAACACTCACAGCAAATGCTATGTCAGGTCGTGTGTGAGATAGATAAATAAGTTTCCCAACAAGCCTTTGGTATCTCTCTTTATCCGTTGGCCTCTCTTTCTCTTTATCTTCTTCTTTACCCTCTTCATCTAAATTGCCCTCTTCTTTCTTGGATTCTTGCCTCTTCTTTGGAACAACAATAGGGGTTTCAACAAGTTTACACCCTAGCATACCCGTCTCCTTTAAGAGATCAAGTACATACTTCCTTTGAGACACATAAATACCTTGCTTTGATCTTGCAACCTCCATTCCCAAGAAGTATTTCAGACAACCCAAGTCCTTGACCTTGAATTCTTTTCCAAGAACAGCCTTTATTCTTGCCGCTTCCTCATTATGATCACCAGTGATGATTATATCATCAACGTATACAATAAGGACACACCTCTTGCCCCCTTCTACTTTAACGAATATAGTATGATCCGATAGTGCTTGATTGTAGCCTTGTAGCTTTAGAACTTTTGAGAATCTATCAAACCATGCTCTTGGAGACTGTTTCAACCCATATAATGATTTCTTCAATTTACATACCTGATTCTCCCTTCCTTTATCAAAGCCAGGAGGTAGAGTCATATAAACTTCTTCTTTCAATTCTCCATTTAGGAAGGCATTTTTGACGTCTAGTTGGTGTAACGGCCATTCAAGATTGCTTGCTACGGATAACAATACTCTGATGGTGTTCAATTTTGCCACTGGTGCGAATGTTTCCTGGTAGTCAATGCCATAGGTCTGTGTAAACCCTCTTGCCACCAGTCTAGCCTTCAATTTATCAAGATTTCCATCAGCCTTATATTTAGGGGTAAATACCCACTTGCAACTAACCAGCTTCTTATTTCTTGGTTTCTGCACAACCTCCCAAGTCTCATTTTCTTCCAAGGCTTTCATTTCTTCCAAGACAGCTTCTCTCCATTCAGACGTTTTCAGGGCCTCATGAATGTCCTTAGGGATACAAACACCATCCACATTTGCAATAAAAACCCGATATCCTGGGGATAAGGCTTTATAAGATAGGAACGTCTGAATAGGATGTTGTGTACATGATCTTGGCTTCTTCCTGAGAGCAATAGGCACCTCCAAGTCATCTTCTGAACTTTTTGAACCGTCTTCCTCATCAGGATTATCATTCTCATCTTCCTTAGGACTATCTCCCATAGGATCTGTCATCGGTTCTGATTCCGGTACTGCTTCAGGTATGAGAGCTTTTGTACCATGCTTCTTCTTCCGCGTGTAAACTTTGATCTCTTTACCTTCTGCACCTGTGTTCTTATCTCCCCCTGAACTTGCATTTTCTTTTGATTCTGGAATAAAAGAGACAGGCTCAAGTAAAGTGGGATGGTCAAGAGGGTCAAGAGAATCAATAGGTTCAATGGGAGAATATTCTTGAAATTCACTCCAACTCTCCCCCTGAATTGAAGGTGATGAATAGAAAGGTTCAGATTCAGAAAAAGTAACATCATGACTGATGAGTAGGCGTTTAGAGGATGGATCAAAGCATTTATATCCCTTTTGGTGTGAGGAGTAACCAAGAAACACACACTTGACAGCTTGTGGGTCAAGCTTGGAAGAGGAATGGAGATGCACAAACACAGAACACCCAAATAACTTTAATGGAAGAACGGTTTCAAGATGGGTGAGAGAGTGGGTCTGCCGGAGACACTCGAGGGGTGTGGTGTAGGATAGAGTTTTTGTGGGCATGCGGTTAATGAGATAGGTGGCGGTAAGAATGGCATCTCCCCAGAAATATGTTGGCACATTTGTGGTAAACATAAGGGCACGGGCAACATCCAACAGGTGTCTATTTTTGCGTTCGGCTACCCCATTTTGTTGGGGTGTATTTGTACAGGAGGTCTTATGGATAATGCCCCGAGCCTTAAGGAAGTCACTTAGGGACTTGTTGACATATTCAGTGCCATTATCTGTTTGGAGAATTTTGATGGACGTGTTAAACTGATTAAGAACCATGGTATAGAATTCGATAAAAATAGAAGGTACCTCAGATTTATCTTTCATTAAATATACCCAACATACACGGGTATGGTCATCAATAAAGGTAACGAACCACTTGGCTCTAGTTCGATTAGAGACACGAGATGGACCCCAAACATCACTATGGATAAGAGAGAAAGGCTTAGAAGGTTTATATTTAGACCGTGGAAAAGAAGAGCGATGGTGTTTGGCTAATTCACAAATATCGCAATGAAAATTAGAAATTTTATTAGATGAAAAATTTGGAAACAAATGACTCAAATATTGGACATTGGGATGACCCATTCTTTTATGCCATAACAAAAGATTAGCTTGTTCAGAAGTAGTCACAAGGTTGCAGTAGATTCGGGACCATAGATTACTCACAGTTGATTCATCAAGGTAGTAGAGCCCATCACACTCCTCAGCACTGCCAATCATCCTCCCCGATGAGAGATCCTGAAAATACAGTGAGTAGAGAAGAAGTGAGCACTACATTTGGCTTGTTTAGTTAACTTGCTAATGGATAGTAAATTGCACGCAAGATAGGGAACATGAAGGACAGACTCAAGATGCAGAAATTTAGAAACAATGATACTACCCTTTCCTGCAATGGGAGAGGATGTACCGTTTGCTGTGTCAATCTTTTCATGGCCACTATAGGGAAAGTATGAGGTAAACAAGGTAGAGTCTGCAGTCATGTGATCTGAGGCTCCGGAGTCAACAATCCACTTTGATTTAGTGGAACATACATTAAATGCAAAATGCGAATTACCTTGCTTAGCAACGGAAGCATTATGAGATGGAGGCGACTGGTTGGATTGTAAACTATGGAGCATCTCTAGAAGCTTATTTAACTGATCCTTGTCGATGATAGGCAAGGTACCCGATTTGTCTGGAGCAGAACCAGATTTGTCTGAAGTAGAATCAGAAGTAGTTTGATAGCCACGAGATTTACCTTTACGTGGTTTCCAATCAGGTGGTTTTCCATGGAGGTCCCAACATTTATCTTTTGAATGGCCTGTCTTTCTGCAATGCTCACAAACAACCTTTCCTCTTGATTCCTTTTGGTCTTGATCCGATTGTCGGCTCACTAAAGCAGACACCTCAGATGAAGGAAGGGTTGATGAAATTCCAGGTAACATCACCTTGCGTCTAGACGCCTCACGACGAACCTCAGCAAATGCATCCCAAGTAGATGGTAGAGGAGAGCGAGCCAGTATGCGACTACGAACATCATCTAATGATTGATGAAGACCAGCCAAAAATTGGAATACTCGCTCATCTTCAATAAGCCTCTTATACCGTGCTGCATCACTCGGACAAGGCCACTCGGTTTCTATGTTGAGATCAATCTCTTGCCACACTGAAACTAACTCCAACCAGAATTCCGTAAGATCACGCTCACCTTGTTTGATCTGCCAACTTCGAGTTTTGAGATCATAGATTCGAGCACCATCTTCCCCATCCGAGTAAGACTCCTTGACTGCGTCCCAGATATCCCGTGCTGTCGGGAGAAACATAAAGGACCGTCTGATTTGAGGGGTCATAGAGTTAACCAACCAAGAAGCCACCAGGGAATTGTCGGTCTCCCACTTCACCAAGGCAGCCGAGTCTGACGCGTCTGGTGGTTTGGATGTACCTGAGATAAGACCCAGCTTCCCGCGGCCTCCAACAGCCAGTCGAACACTCTGGGCCCACTCACGATAATTGGTTCCATTGAACTTTTCGGAAACCAGGACAAGGGACGCCCCCTCGGCAGAACTCAACCCGAGAGGAGTTCCGCCATTTGGAGTGATTTTCAAGTCAGCCTCAGCGCCGGAACCCATGAACGCAGAGGGTCGAGTGCGCGAGTCTGACTCTTGGTCGGCTCTGTCGTCTTCGTCTGAGTGATGGTGTTCAGCGTCTGCCTGCTCTGATACCATGTGGTCGAAGACAAGCCAGAGGAAGGAACCGAATGAATATTATTCAGTAATATGGTCAGAATATATACACGTAGCATAACCTTCTATAAAAGGAAAAAAAACAAAAAAGGAAATAAAATCAAATATTACTCCTAATGACCCAATCCTATCAAATCTCTATTTTTATGGGACATATCCCTCTAATTCCTGTAATTATTCTCACAATTATAAATGCTTTGAAAGCAGAAATGGCCACGTACATCATTTTCGCAACAGTTTGAAGAGTTGGTGCCAGTTGTCATCATTCATGGTTAATTCAAATTAATAAAATATATTAAATATCTCTCTTACTTCTTGAGTTCGCTATTTCAGAAGCTTCAGTCATGGTATCAACTTCCAAATGGAAATTGGGAGTTGGGGAAGATAATATCAACTTCCGGAGCTGAATCTGTTATTTCACTGCCTAATGGGAAGGTAAAATGGTTTGGACTCTACTGAATGGTTTTTCTTTTGAATGTCTGCTTAGCTATACTCTTCTCCTTATTATAGGTTTTAAAGGTGAAAGGTGAAAGTTTGGTCCCAGCAAATCCTGATATTCTTGATGGAGTGGATGATCTGATGCAGCTTAGTTATTTAAATGAACCTTCGGTTTTATACAATTTGCAACATAGATACAATCAAAATAGTATTTATGTAAGTCCTTTTATCTTTGAAGTTCTATCTTCACTGTGACCTTAATATAAGCTATTGTAACATCTTTATGTGTAAAATTGTGTGATCAGACGAAAGCTGGGCCAATTTTGGTTGCTGTAAATCCCTTTAAGAAAGTTCTTTTGTATGGAAATGATTATATTGAAGCATACAAGCGTAAAACAAGTGAAAGCCCTCATGTATATGCCATTACAGACACAGCTATTCAGGAAATGATACGAGGTCACATTTTCTTTTCTCATATATATACATAGATACATACGTGTATGCATACATCAATATAAGTTTAGTTGTTGGAAACCCTCATTTGCTTTAAGCATTTCTAACTCTTATTCATGCTTTGTTTTCCAGATGAAGTAAATCAATCCATTATTATAAGGTCAGTAAATATTTAATTAACAAAATTTTGGTAATTTTAAATTTGTTTTCTGAGATCCACCTATTATTATTTAATGAATTAAAAGCTTTATCATCATCTTGTGTCTGAAGTTTGTTTTCTATTATGTCAATCTTCCTCTTGGCTTTCCACTTTTCCTTAAAATTGTGAACCCTCCATATTACGCCATTTAATTGTTTATTGTATATTCTGTGTACATTGGGACTTAATTTATGACTTATGCTTACCATATTCAGTGGTGAAAGTGGAGCTGGAAAAACTGAGACAGCAAAGATAGCAATGCAGTACTTGGCTGCTCTGGGTGGTGGAAGTGGAATAGAGTATGAGATATTGAAGACTAATCCAATACTAGAAGCCTTTGGTAATGCAAAGACATTGAGAAATGACAACTCAAGTCGTTTTGTAAGATCCACACTTGTCATGTTAAATCTCTTAGTTGCTCTTTTCTCAAGTGTTTCGAGTAATGGTTCTATTCATGTTAAGTTTTGATCTAATTTTATTTATACTGAAAGTTCTGATAATTTGAATCAACATTTCACAGGGAAAGCTCATTGAGATACACTTTAGTGAGACTGGACAGATATCGGGTGCTATCATTCAAACATGTTAGTGTACTAATGAATTTTGTGATTGAAACCATGTGCTTTTGCTTCCCCAAGAAATTTTCAACTAACTATTTTGTTAAATATTTGTGTCCGCCTGTTGATTGTGATGTTCCCTGCATAACATAAACAGTTTTGTTGGAAAAGGTAACTGTTCATTCTTTTGAGCTGTATATTTACATTATTATTTGCATTCATCTCATCCTACATCACTGGGCACTGTTTTGATTTGGTGATTGAACAGTCTAGAGTAGTCCAATGCAATGAAGGAGAAAGGTCATATCATATATTTTATCAGCTATGTGCTGGAGCACCACCTTCTCTAAGGGGTAACTACTGGCTTTTAACCTTCCCTTTTGTTGTATTTATTGAATATTGTGAATAATGGTTGAGTTCTTGTAGTCTGGGCATATTATTTGAGCATGAACTTGAAGATGATAATGTGATTCCTTCAATATAAAGGATAGCTATCCCTTTTTGAATGTGCTACTATTTAATTGAAATATGAAAGATAAGAGAAAAATAGTCTAGGAATGCTAAAAACTGTCAAAGCTTAGTCTTTGATTTGTATGTTGTTGAAAGGTGTCATTGGGCTTGGGCCCAATTCGGAATCAGATCCTATCTGATTCTAATTTTATCTAATCAGATTTTATCTTATTTATTTTAAGTGTATCTTTTATTCTGAGTTTATATTAGGATCAGATCTGATATAATCAGATCTTAGATTTAATTCTCATTGATTCTCTTGTAACAAACCGTAGTCTGCTCCTGTTTGCATATGGCTGATGCTATGAATAAAATTGAAGCTTAGAAATCAATTACTCAGCCAATTTCTTCATGGTATCAAAGCCCATGGCTGATCCTCACACCAGGTTTGGCCAATATAGGGCATCCAATGCTGAAACAATTGACCCCAATGTACAATAGAATGCGACGATGTCTTCTGTTGGTTGCTAGCCTCCATACAACGTTCTAGACCTTTTGGTGTTCAACATTGCACATAAACTTGATGGCTAAAATTACCCCCAATGGTCTCAATCCTTCCTGATGTTCCTCCATGGTTGTGACAAAGAGGAATTCGTTGATGGGCGTGCTCCAATACAACTCTCTTGTTCAACTACGGCAACAAATTGACCTCTGAGGTCCATCTGTGGTCATGCAGTGAAGATGCCAGATACTATAAAAATTTGTTGAAACTGAATGAGTTTACAAATTCTTCTTTGGTTTGAACACAGAATTTGAAGAAGTCAGAAGCAAAATTCTTAGTCACTCCAGTCTACCCTCCATCTGTCAAGTCTTCTTGATGGTCAAGCAAGAAGAGAGTCATAAATGCATCATTAGTGGAATTCATCCTCTCCCTCCTTTGAAGTTTTGGCCATGGCAGCCCGAGGACCATCTACTGATGACAATAGAGGTAAAAAGGGGTCTCATCCTTCTACCCTCCATCCATGAAATCTTCTTAATAGTTAAGTAAGAAGAGAGTCATAAACACATCACTAGAGGAATTCATCCTTCTCTCTCTTTTGAAGTTCAGCCATGGCAGCCTGAGTACCATCTACTAATGACAATAAGGGAAAAAGGGGTCTTGTCCTTTTTGTGATCACTATACAAAGCTGGACATACTCGGGATATATGTTGGAATATTCAAGGACGTCTAGATATAAACCACAGGGAAGAAAAGAAAGAGAAGGTTGTGTAACTAGCACTAATAATGAACAAAAACTGGATCTAAATCAATTATGGGAACAAGTATATTAGTTGCAGAAATTGTTCAACACTCATGAAAGAGATAAGTCTCCTAAAGTGAGTACTGCTATTGGGTTAGTGGCCTCTAAATCATGTATTATCTCTATTGCCTATTGAAACATGGGAATTAGGGAAATTGGGGATATAAGGGTAGTTTGGATATTTAGTATATTCTCTATAAATAGGTCTTTAGGTTGTAATGGCTTGGGGAATTTACTTGTGCTGTGATGAAATATGGATATGATCAATGTCAAACTAACCATATGCATTTGTGAGACACAGCGAAGGAAAAATTTCAGTTTTAGTTGTCTATATTGATGACATAATCTTGACTGGCGATGACTATGAAGAGATTCATTAATTGAAGAAGGCTCTTGCAAGAGAATTTGAGGTGAAAGATCTTGGGCATTTGGAGTATTTTCTTGGAATGGAGGTGGCTCGGTCAAGTAAGGGAATAAATGTTTCACAAAGAAAGTATGTACTTAATCTTTTGAAAGAAACAGGGATGCTTGGTGCAAGACTGGCAGACGTTCCAACGGAGACTACTTGCAAGTTGAAAATGAGAGAAGATGGAATCTGTTGATATTGGAAGGTATCAAAGATTGGTTGGAAAACTAATTTACTTATCTCATACTAGGCTTGACATTTGTAATGTGTTGGTGTTGTAAGTTAGTTCATGAGTAAACTTCAAAAAGAGCATATGTAGGTAGCGTATATAATGTTGAGATATCTCAAGAAGACACCAGGTATGGGACTGTTTTCTCAAAAGAGGGAACTAAAGGTATTGAAGTTTATGTAGATGCTAATTGGGTTGGTTTCTGGTTACTGTACATTTGTCATGGGAAATTTAGCAACTCGGAGAAGTAAGAAGCAAACTGTTGTTGCAAGGGAGCAGTGCAGAAACTGAATTAAGGGCATTAGCACATGGAATTTGTGAAGGAATATGGATGCAGTTAGTTCTAAGAGAATTAAAGGTTAATGTCATAGCATCAACGTATATCTGGTGTGATAACATGGCTGCTATAAAGATGTCAAAGAATCCTATTCATCATGATAGAACAAACCATGTGGAAATTGATAGGAATTTCATAAAAGAAAAAATTGAAAGTGGCATGATCAGTCTTGATTATATTCCCTCAAGGATTCAAATAGCAGATTTGTTGACTAAAGCCTTGTCAAGAACCAAGTTTGAAGAACTAAGAAGCAAGTTGGGAATGATCAACATCTATTCTTTTGCTTGAGGGAGTGTTAGAAGTATCTTGGGCCAGTTGTTTAGAATTTCTTATTTCTTATTGTTTCCAATGTATTTTTTTTCTGTCTTATTTATTATCTTTGACTTTTGGGGTTTGAATCATTTATTGCTAGCTGTCTAATTTATTTTCTGTGACTTTTGGGGAGTGAATCATTTATTGCTAGCTGTCTTATTTATTATCTATGACTTTTGGGGAGTGAATCATTTTACTGCCTGCAGTTATGATCCTCCCTATATGTGTCCATCTCTCTAAATTCTGGCATATACAGAAAAATATAGAAATTTTTCCCCCTCATTTTCCATTGTTTTTTCTTGGTTCTACAACAGAGAAGTTGAATCTACAGAGTGCAGAAGACTATAAATATCTCAGGCAGAGCAATTGCTATATGATATTTGGTGTTAATGATGCAGAGGAATTTAGCATAGTCATGGTACATTTTACTTTCCGACAGTTACAGATGATTTGTCTTCATTAAAGATCGTTTGATTGATTCTCTTTCTTTTCTTTGGTTGATGGTTTGTTTTGAAACAGTAGTGTGACATGCATGTGAACTTATGTTAGTGTCAACAATTTCCAGGAAGCTTTGGATGTTGTCCACATCAGCAAAGAAGACCAGGAGGATGTATTTGCAATGCTTGCTGCAGTGCTATGGCTGGGAAACATATCTTTTACTGTAATTGATAATGAAAACCATGTTCAACCTGTAGAAGATGAGGGTAGGAATCGTCCGAAACATCCACTTAAAGCATCTATACTATAGTGTTTTTGCAGCATAATTGTGTTAATTACCAAAACATCTATTTTGCATTAGAAACTGTGATAGATCATGAAAGAATTCATCAGAAACTGTGTCTTATGTGCAGGTGAAAAGCATAATTATTTACTAAAAAAAGCTTAATTATATAATTATATGAACAGATAAAGAGAATATTTAATTTTCAGTCTTATATGTCAATAAGAAGTGGATAATTATTATTAATGTTAATAATGTCTGTTATAACGTGACTCTTGTAATAACACTGTTAACTTAGCTTTTACACAGAAAAAGTGTTGGCAAGATAGGAAGATTGCCTTAACTTATGAGGCAATCATTAGTTCCTTAATCAAATCGTGTCTTTTAGGAATTTTTTTAAAATTTATATCTTTTTTGTGGCCTTCAGCTTCATTGAACCAAAATAAACTGTTTTAAAGGAGTCATATAGCTGATCACTTTTTTCTGCTTTCATTTTCTATCTTATATCATTTTGAAGGGCAATGGGGGAGTCCCTCTAAAGGGTGATTTAAGGCTTTGTAAGCTGATTTTTTTTTTTTTTTTTCGCTATTGAAGCTTGCATCACCTCACTTATAGGCGCATTTTGTTTCTGTTGTATCTTCAGCTCTGTTCAACGTTGCCAAATTGATAGGCTGTGACATTGGAAATCTTAAGTTGACTTTATCAACTCGCAACATGAAAGTTGGTAATGATAACATTGTTCAAAAGTTGAAGCTATCACAGGTAAAATGGATACTGTGAAAAATATGGCTTTTGTCTGAAATTATGCCTCTTTGAAAATATTAACTTGGAGGAGGGAAGTTCTTGGGATTGGCAACTTGAAAGTGCGTTGCATTCTTCAGGCATTGTCAATATGAAAGTATATTATATTAACCAAAAAAAAAAATGAAAGTGTATCATGGCATTATTGATCTGCCCAAGAAATCTTTGTAAAATTATCAGGAGGGGGAAGTTATTCTTGCCTTTCATGTTTTGATACATTTATAAGTGCATTGCAGTAGGGTTTGGCATGATGAGGCTTGTGTGTTTAATTTTAGAAAAAATAAGTTGAAAATGCTATTTCTCATAAATAGATAGTGGGCTTGTTTTCTATGAAGTTTGACGAGTCACACTGTTCATGACTTACTAATAGTATAGGTTTCTATAGACTGTATATTTTATATTATATATGAATATATAGATGTATCTTACTTCTCAGGAGTCTCGGCTGCATTGAATGTTTCCTTCATTTCACTTTTTGTTTTTTTCCATTTCAAAATGCTTTCTTTGAACGCCATGATCTATACTTAGAAAAGAACCAGTAGAAAAAAATTTCTGAGGGTGAATCACATGCCATGAATTCAAAATTTTGGAGGTATCTTGCAAAATGTATAAATAGGACGGATCCCCATTGTTTCTGCAATATGTATGGTAACTAGATATCTTAATACAGATTTTGTCCCCCATTAACTTACATTCTACATTTTGTCTTGTAGGCCATTGATGCTAGAGATGCTTTGGCAAAGTCAATATATGCTTGCCTGTTTGATTGGTTGGTGGAGCAAATAAACAAATCACTTGCTGTTGGCAAAAGGCGTACAGGCAGATCTATCAGTATTCTAGATATATATGGGTTTGAATCATTTGATGTACGTTTTATTACCCTTACCTCCTTTTTCTTCAAATCTGTCTGATCATTCTCTTGTTTGAATATTGAGATATAATGTCTTTCTTGATGTTACTCATTAACCAGTCTATATCTGCAGAGGAATAGTTTTGAGCAGTTCTGTATCAATTATGCAAACGAGAGATTGCAGCAACATTTCAATCGTCATTTATTCAAGTTAGAACAGGAGGTATGTGTGACGTGTTTCCTTTGCGTATATAATGTGAAATACTAAGTTATATTTTATTTTCTTCTTTGAGTTTATTGTAAAAAACCTTGTTCATGGGGATACTATTGTTCATTCGATAATTTAATCATCATTTGTTCAATGTAGAACAAGTTGTGCGTGTCATGTTTCCTTTCTGTATGTACTGTGGAATTACTGATTCTATTCGGGGCACACGCGTGTGGGCTTGAGTTTATCATCAATAACTCCTAGGATACTCTTGTACATTCACCTTAGCTCTAGGGATGCTATTGTAATTTTCCGTTAGCTCAAGGTCTATAAATAGAGGTGCCCATTAATTGTGAAGCCATGAAGTATTCATTCAAAAGCTGAGTACATTCTCTTTGCCTTTACTCTGGTCATTTTCTCCAACACTACAAGGAAACTAGCTGCTTGAACGAAAGCACAATGGAATGTAATATTTGTATAGGATTCTCTCATGCTGACAGAATTCTTATTGGTGATCCCTGTTTCTTCAAAATCATTCTTCGATCCTGTCATTGAAAATCTTCTCTCTTCTCAACTTGCACTGTGCCAAGCCATATCAAGCCTTTTAAAGATACACCTGCCTAGTAGCCAATACTAATTTAGACCAGAAGGGTGCTTTGAATAAAAAACAAAGGGAAAATCACAATCAAGGACCCCTGGAGACAATTAATTACACTACAGGACCAAATGGTTTTAATATTACTTTGCAGGACCAATGTACCTACCTTTGTTGTGAAAAGACAAAAATACGCTTCATATGTATACTATATACTCTTTTAACAACTCATTTGAAAAAAAAAATCTCATTCACATTTTAACAATAATCAATTTCCTTATTAACAATTTTAAAAAATTAATTTGGTGGTGGAGAGGAACAAATGTTGTGAATTGGGGAACAACAATCAATCTCCCCATTACAACAAAAATTCATTAGGAGTAGTTTTGTCTTTTCACGAAAAATTTTAATTACATTTAGGTCCTTTGGTCTTGCAAAGTACTATCAGAATCTTTTGGTCCTATAGTGTAATTAATTGTCTCCAGGGGTCCTTGATTGTGATTTTCCCAAAAAAAAATGACAAACAACAAATCATGCTACAAGGAATTGAGATAATTCCAAAGTATTCTTTTTACTTTGATATTCTTGTTATTTACCTATTTACATGAAGCACAGACTTTCATGCATTGATATAAATTCCTTGTTTCGATCTAACAAAGTTGATAAGCAGACTATTTAAATTGGCCAAGATCTTTAATCTCAAAATTTCGAGACACTTTCTTTAAAATAATGTCATTCACATTGATGTTTAAAACGTTCTTATCATTTGATTGCTTTAATATGGGATGGTCTGCCTGACTTTATTCGTTCCCAATGCTTTTAAGCACAACCCCAGCAGCTGCTCAAGAAGTTACTATACTGGGTTTTGATTGCTAAACGCTCCAGCTGGAAAAAGGGGGCCCATTCCCAAAGAGCATGTCTGAGATGCTGTGATTATATTCTCTAATATATGGTTTAATACTTATTAACTGCCTCCAAAATGGCAATTGAATTATAGAACTAACTCTTCTAAAAGCTTGTGTAAAACGAAGATCTATCTTTCTTTGACAATGCGTAATGCTTACCTCTTAAAGCTACACATTTGAATATACTTGTGAACTATTACATTCTTCCAGGAATACATACAAGATGGCATTGATTGGGCAAAAGTTGAATTTGAAGATAACCAAGACTGCCTCAATCTTTTTGAAAAGGTATATACAGAGCTTCCCCCTCCCTCTTTGGTGCTATCTGTAATGTTCTTTTTAAGTGGAATTTGGATGAAGAAACTAGCCAATCCAACTCATTTTATGGGCCTGTGTAATTTTTTTTTTTTGTGCCTCATGTATAGAGAGATGCACATGCATGATAAATGGCTAAACTTCATTATGGAAAGAAGCAATAATATGTTTGCTTTCCAGGGAACTTCTGTCATTCGTGGTTGTGGTTGATACTTAAAAATTTGAATTTCTTTTTTCTTAAACTTTAACTTCTGATATGTGCAGAAACCACTGGGATTACTATCTCTGTTAGATGAAGAGTCCACTTTCCCTAATGGCACAGATCTGACATTTGCTAACAAGCTTAAGCAGCATTTGAATTCTAATTCATGTTTCAGAGGAGAGCGAGGCAAGGCTTTTACTGTGTGCCACTATGCTGGGGAGGTATTAATCTTTTTAGGCTCATAATACTATATGGGTTCTGTTTGTCTGTCAAAGGAGCATATAAATATCCATAAGATATCAAAATATGATTTTCATTATAGTGACATTACATTTGACTTGGTTTAGCTTCTAAAATATGACACTGCTGGGTTTTTGGAGTATGTATGTAAGTAAATTACACACTTTCGTTGAATAATTTTAATTAGCATATTTTCTATTAAATCAATTTAGGTTAATAGAGTATTTTAGTTAAAAAAATTTAAATTCAACTAAAGTATAGAACCACTTTTTGGTTTCAGGGAGGTCCCTTTGTGGAATTTTTAGAGAGGAAAAAATTGTATTGTCTCATTGCAATTCTAATGTACACATTGGTCCTATATATATACATCAAGAGAGATAAAAGCTAATAAATACTAATAAAGCCTAATTAATGAGATCCTAATAAATGCTAATAATTCTCAATAATAACATAAGCTAATAAATACTAATAAAGCCTAATTAATGAGATCCTAATAAATGCTAATAATTCTCAATAATAACATAATATTCCCACACTCCCCCTCAAGTTGGATCATAGATGCTAATTATGTCCAACTTGCTTATACAACTCTCAAATGCAGGCTTGGGTAGTCCCTTGGTTAGTACATCCGCAGCTTGTAACTTTGTAGGTAGGTATGTCAGACATACAATACCTCCTTCTACTTTCTCTCTGATAAAATGTCTATCCACTTCAACATGTTTAGATCTCTCATGCTGTACAGGATTCAATGCCATGCTTATAGCAGCCTTATTATCACAATACAATTTCATTGGTGGATCAACTCTGACTTCTATTTCTTCCATGACCCTTCTTATCCATAGTTCTTCTGTAATTCCTTGAGCTAATGCTCTCAATTCTGATTCAGCACTGCTTCTGGATACAACTCTTTGCTTTTGACTTTTCCAGGTTACTAAGTTTCCCCACACAAATGAACAATAGCCAGAGGTGGATCTCCTGTCTCCATAAGTCCCCCCCCAGTCTGCATCGGTGTAAATCTCAATTGTCCTTTGATCATGCTTCTTGAATAACAATCCCTTACCAGGTGTACCCTTAAGGTATCTGAGAATCCTATATACAGCTTCCAGGTGTCTCTTCCTTGGATCACACATGTATTGACTTACTACACTGACAGCAAAAGCAATATCTGGCCTCGTATGGGATAAATAAATCAGCTTCCCAACCAGTCTTTGATATCTGTCTTTATCAATGGTTTCTTCTTTCTCCTTGTCTTCTTCTTCAACTTCATTATCAGAGTTGTCTTCTCCTTCTAACTCCTCAGTGCCGCTTTTCTTAGGTGGCCTCTTCTTTTTCGAGATCACAATAGGAGTTTCCTTAGGTTTACAACCCAACATGCCAGTTTCCTTGAGAAGATCAAGTATATACTTCCTCTGAGATACATATATTCCTCGTTTTGACCTAGCAACTTCCATCCCAAGAAAATATTTCAAGTTCCCAAGATCCTTAACTTCAAATTCCTTACTAAGGATAGTTTTTATCCTTGCTATTTCATCAACATGATCTCCTGTAAGGATTATATCATCAACGTACACAATGAGGAGGCACTTCTTAGCTCCCTCAGCCTTAACAAACATCGTATGATCTGACAATCCTTGCTTGTAGCCTTCTAACTTCAGGACCTTTGAGAATCTGTCAAACCATGCCCTAGGTGACTGTTTCAAGCCATACAGTGATTTTTTCAGCCGACATACTTTGTCATTTCTGCCTCTATCAAACCCAGGAGGTAAAGTCATGTAGACTTCTTCCTTCAATTCTCCATTTAAAAAAGCATTTTTGATATCTAGTTGATGAAGACGCCATTCAAGGTTGGCTGCCACTGACAATAAGATTCTTATAGTGTTCAGTTTTGCCACTGGCGCAAACGTCTCTTTGTAGTCTATGCCATAAGTCTGGGTGAAACCTCTTGCTACTAACCGTGCTTTCAACTTGTCAAGTGTGCTATCAGCCTTATACTTTGGGGTAAAGACCCACTTGCAACTAACTAGTTTCTTACCTCTAGGTCTTTCAACAATCTCCCATGTTTCATTTTTCTCCAAAGCTTTCATTTCCTCCATAACTGCATTTCTCCATTCTGGTATTTCCAATGCTTCTTGGATGTTGTTTGGAATAACAACTTTATCCAAATTAGTGATGAAGGCTCGGTAACCAGGAGAGAGAGCCTTGTAGGACACATGCTTCTGAATCGGATGCAAAGTACAAGACCGAGGTTGTTTCCGAAGGGCAATAGGTAGATCAAGATCAGTAGATTCACATCTTTGTTCTGAGTCATCTGGCTTACTAGATGGATCAATCTTTGGTATGTCAGCTTCAGGGACTACCTCTGGTTTTGACTCTCTTGATGCCTCAGGTACAAGTTGCTCACTATCTTTTGTTTTCTTCTTTCGAGTGTAAACTAACAACTCCCCCTTTTGTGGTCTTTCCACATCTTTCTCTGTTTTCTTGTTTTCCTCAAACTTTGGCATAAGAGAAGAGGTTGGTGAAGGTGGGATGTTGGACAAAGGTAAGGGTGATGGTTCTAGTAAAGGAGACACGGACTCAAGAAGTATATATTCAGCGTTAGGTTCTAGTTCCCAAGTCTGAGATTCACCTATATTCTCCCCCTGAATTGAGGAATTGGAATAAAAAGGAGTTTCTTCATGGAAAGTAACATCAAGGCTTACAAGGATGCGTTTAGAAACAGGATCAAAGCACTTATATCCTCTTTGAGTAGGAGAATAGCCAAGGAAGATACACTTGATAACTCGAGGTTCAAGTTTACTGCTTTGGTGGATATGAACAAAGGTTGTGCACCCAAACACACGAAGCGGAAGTTTGGTTTCAATGTGGGATGTAGGAAAAACACTCTGCAATTTTTGGAAAGGAGTTTCGAAGGCTAATATTCGACTGGGCATCCGGTTGATGAGATAGGTTGCGGTTAAAATGGCTTCTCCCAAATAAAACTTTGGCACGTTGCAAGTGAACATGAGTGCTCTTGCAACTTCAAGGATATGTCTATTTTTTCTTTCTGCGACCCCATTTTGTTGGGGTGTATGGGCACACGTACTGGTATGGATAATCCCATGCATTTGGAGAAAATTACTCAAAGATTGGTTGAAGTATTCAGTGCCATTATCGGTGTGTAAAACTTGAATGCTAGTGTTGAATTGGTTTTTGATCATGGTGAAAAAACTCATGAATGTGGATGCAGCCTCGGACTTGTTTTTCAAAAGGTAAACCCAACAAACACGAGTGTGGTCATCAATGAAGGAGATGAACCATTTTGTTTGAGTACGGTTTGAAGTGCGAGATGGTCCCCACAAATCACTGTGGATGGTTGTGAAAGGTTTGGTAGGTGTGTATTTGGCTCTAGGAAAGGAAGTTCGATGGTGTTTGGCAAGTTCACATACCTCACACTGGATTTCACTATGATTCAAGGTCGGGCATAAGTTTGGAAACAACCGCTGAAGGTAATGAAAATTGGGATGACCCATTCTCTTATGCCATAACATAAAATCATGAACTTTAGAGGTAGATGCAGAATTACCAACAATAGGTGGGTTATCTACTCGAGTGACGACCTCTAAATAGTAGAGCCCCTCATATTCTTTGGCATTGCCGATTGTCGCACCAGATGATAGATCCTGAAACACACAACGTGACGGGAGAAATTTAGCAAAACAATTTGAGTGCCTGGTCAGTTGACTGATTGAAAGTAAATTACAGTCAAGTTTTGGCACGTGAAGGACAGATTCCAAAGTAATAGAATCTGATATACGGATACTCCCTTTTCCTGCCACTGGTGCTAAGGAGCCGTCTGCAATTTTCACTTTAATATTTCCAGCACATGGGGTGTAAGTGGTGAACAATTGATGACAATTAGTCATATGATCAGATGCCCCGGAATCCACGATCCAGACCACTGCACTTCGAGTCGTCTTTAAAGCCTGAAGGAAAGACCCTCTTTTTGCCACAAATGCCATGGGTGCAGATCTGGAATTATGCACAACACTACATAAAAGTAGCCACAGCACCACCCCTAGCACTTCAAATGAGGGAAAAGCTTTTTGGTAGACTGAAAACAGAAGCCACAACCCAATATAACTCCAAATCCAGCAAAACAGGGCACTAACAACACCATACGACCTGATATGGTTCGAAAACGATGTGCCCATACACCGGATTGTGCTGGATCTTGCCGGAGAGAGTGCGTCGTTGCCGTCCGAGAAGATCGTGTCCTGAACGGAGCCTCCACGCGCCTCCACGCGCCGCCGAAAGTTTACTGACGCAGTGAGCAGGGGTGGCGCGTGTGGTCTACACGCGCCGCCGTTCGCCGCCGCCGCCTTGGGTTTCGCCATTCGGAGCCTCCTGAGTACGTCTAGGGTGGTGGTGAGATTCAAAACTCGCTCCACCATTGTCCACACAAACACCGTCACGTACTGTTCAGGCAGCCCATTCTAGCCATTCCAGAACTAATTTAATTTGAAATTTTGAGCCTGATGCTCTGATACCATGTGGAATTTTTAGAGAGGAAAAAATTGTATTGTCTCATTGCAATTCTAATGTACACATTGGTCCTATATATATACATCAAGAGAGATAAAAGCTAATAAATACTAATAAAGCCTAATTAATGAGATCCTAATAAATGCTAATAATTCTCAATAATAACATAAGCTAATAAATACTAATAAAGCCTAATTAATGAGATCCTAATAAATGCTAATAATTCTCAATAATAACATAATATTCCCACACCCTTATATTTTGAAATTAGGGAGAAATTCCGCGTAATTTTAGTAAATTTTTTTTCTAATTCACTCTATATAAATTGTAAGAGACTAAATCATGCTAGAAGCTTATAATTGAATCAAATGTTGAATAACCAGAATTTTGATTTGACTTCGCATCAAGTCCAAGGCTATATCTTAAAACTAATGGGGCTACTTATGAGATTGCTTATCTCACCTGAATGTTTAATAGCTCCATTTGTTCCTTTCCTCAGGTCATGTACGACACAACTGGATTTCTGGAAAAAAACAGGGACCTATTGCACTTGGATTCCATTCAACTTCTATCGTCATGCAGGTGTCATCTTCCTCAGATATTTGCATCCTTTATGCTTACCCAGTCTGAGAAGCCTGTTGTTGGTCCCTTACACAAGTTAGGTGGAGCTGATTCTCAAAAGCTAAGTGTTGCAACAAAGTTCAAGGTACATCATCAAAACTGAAATTCTAAATAGCTTCAGCTTTCATGACATGTTCTGAAACTTAGGCAAACCATTGTTCTAGTTTTTGTTGTCTTTAAATTAATACATTTGTTGGAATATCTGGTATTCTATTTGAAGAATTTCAGAAAATAATGACTATGACATTTCTTATTTTATTTCAAAACAGATGTTACAATTTATGGAGGAAGTTGGTCACAGAAAATGAGCAATCAATCCTTAACATAAACCAAAATAAAGGCCAAAGAATTTTAGCGAACGTGAAAGGGAATAATGGGTGAAGAATATTGGCCTATCAACTTTCACTTAAAAAGCAATAAACATGCAACATAAAGCCTCATAAACCATGAACAAAAAAGGGAATGAAATATTTGAAAAATAGAGCACCGTGTTTCTGTCCAAGAATCATGGGATTCCATGCTATTCTGCTTGCTCAAACCATGCAATATACTTCAATTACTGCTGTAAAAGGGAGAGGGGAACAATGACTGGGCCACCAAAATATCAATGAATCTAATGATGCTGATTAATGGTTATCTGTAAGAAGTGAAACTTGTGACCTATCAACCAAGATGCTACATAGTTTAATTCTTACGATTAATCAGTTCACGTTGCTTTGTCAATTTGTTTTACATGTTTTATTGCAAGAACAGCGCACATGAGTTAGTTTAGGTGTTTAGAGTTGGGTGGGGCACACATACATAAATGCTAATGGAAGTAAAGAGGCTGAGAGGGAGGAGTGATAAGTGGTGAAGTCAGATGCTGCATCATGCCTAGATCTGTTAACACATTTTACTCCTTTGCCCATTCCGTTTCCAATTTTGCCCTTGTGCACCCTTTATAGTCATAGGGAGTTCTTAGAAGTAGATGTTATCTGTTTTTGGTATTATGTTTATGTTGTTTTTGTTAACATCCAGGGTCAACTGTTCCAATTGATGCAAAGGTTGGAGGGCACTACCCCACATTTTATTCGCTGTATTAAGCCCAATAACCTCCAGTCTCCAGGATTATATGAACAAGGTCTTGTGCTACAGCAGCTAAAATGTTGTGGAGTGCTAGAAGTGGTTCGAATATCAAGATCAGGCTTCCCTACTAGAATGTCTCACCAAAAGTTTGCCAGAAGGTATAAAAGAGAGATTGAGTGATATAATAGTTTTTGTCTTTACTATTTTTCCCCCTTTTCATTTGTGTCTAATTTTTTGTCTTGGGACTGGTGAATCAGATACGGTTTTCTTCTCCTTGAGAATGTTGCATCTCAGGATCCACTTGGTGTTTCAGTTGCAATTCTTCATCAGTTTAATATTTTGCCTGATATGTATCAAGTTGGCTACACAAAATTATTTTTCCGAACAGGCCAGGTATATGGATCCTATTGATTGAATTTATGCAAATCATTTTCAATTGATGTGGTTTTGAGGTCTATCAAATTAATTGCAGCAGCAGTCTTCCTGGCTGGTTAAATTCTTTTGGTTTGCATGATCAACGAAAAATGGAATTTATTGCATTTAATGTTGAGAATCTGGGTACCTTCATGCATTTTTAATTTCTAAGCATTTAGAATCTTAGATGAGTATAGGCAAATCAGAACGAATGAGCTTCCCTTATTTTTAGCCATTTGAAATGTTGAGATTCAGTGATTGGGATGTGGATGCATTAAGTTTTCTGGACCTAGTAGAGTCAGACGCCTTTGTTTAAGGGAGAATATCAATGAAAGATTTGTGAAAGAATTTAATATCTGACAAGGACCTTATCTAAATCGGATCCTTGTTAAAACAATAACTTCATTTGTTATTTTGATATTTACTCGTTAGAAATCCTTTTTAGATATTAGATTTCTTCCCGGGTCCTTTATTGATATTCTCCCTTTTTTATTAAAAAATGTTTTTGTAAACCTCAGTCTAGTCACTTCTTGTTTCAGCCATAGGCTGGGTAAATCAAATGCATTTTATGTAACTTTTTCTTTTCTTCATGATTTGCATTCTCCTTTCCTCTTTCTCTCTGTTTTAGTCAGATCCGAACATTAAATTGTTGCTTTACTTTGTAGTCATCATGTATAAATTTGTGGTTGGCATAACTTAGGGGTTGAATTTCTTTTATTTGTAAATATAGGAAAGTAGAGATTAAGTACAAGATAAACTCCTTGGGATAAGTTATAAAGCACTGTAAAGATTTATAACTCGTATTTTCAGAATGCAATTAGATAAAGTTATAATCATTAGGGGTTGTTTGATTGGCAAAAGTATTTTGGGTTCCTCGGCATGTCGCATTTCCGCATTTCGTGTAGGAAACTAGACGCATTTCTTGTGCATTACATCGAATGAGAAATGAGCTGCATTGTTCACAGCTTTTTATAGATTTTATATTTAATATTTATGATTATAAAAAATAATCCTATTAGAATTGAGATTCCCATCTACACTATCAAAAATATTTTTATAAATAATATGTAAATTAGTTATAATAATAAAATAGTAGAATATAAGTATATAGTGACAGAAAAAATAATATGGAATAAATAACAAGCTAAAAGCTTCAAATTATATAATGAATCAGTATTGCCTTTTTTAAGTTTTTTAAAATGATGAAATTAAATACTTTTTTCTTATTTCTTATCTCTGTTGTTGTAACAAAATATATAATGTTACAATTAACTCATTTTGTTTCCATGACTTGGTCCCCCATGGGTAAATGAGAATGGCAAAGGCGCAGGGTAGGGAATGTTTTGTAGTTTGTCCCCATCTCGTTCTTTCATGTGTTACCCACACTTGTCCATAACTCTATTCCCCCCCCCCCCAAAAAAAAAAAAAAAAAAATCTTTTCCATGCTCGACTCTGCTGGTATTTTATTATCCCTCTAGTAAAACATGTTCAAATTAATCTTAGGTCAGGAAATTCATGTAATATAACATAATATAGAACTCAATAATTTGATAGGTCAATCTTTTTATCTCAGGTTTGAGTCTTGGCAATGATTGCATTGTAATCTGTACATATATATATAGGCATGGGTGGGTTCAGAGTAGGGCTCATGTTGAGACTATTTAGCTCAGACCTTGCCCTACATTTGAGCCATAAAGATAGGGCTTTTTTCCAAACCCCTGCCAAAAGTTGACTGATCTAATCCAAAAGGCACAAGATAGGTTGGATGCTTGTGTATCAGGTCTAAATTCTTATCCCTACTAAAGGACATCTCATGAACTGAAATTGTGCTTAAAGCCTCTTGAACTAAGCAAATGATGGGCCACATTTTTGGGGCCAATGAGATGGGGAAGGAAGATACCTGCCTTGAGCCTAACATGTCATCCAGCTTGGATACATGTATGATTTAATAGCAACTTGATCATGCTTATTACTACAGACGAAAATGAGACAGAAGGATCTAATTGCATTGTATTATATAAAACTTGAAGGGTAGCTTTGCATTATTTTTTCTCCTTAAAAGGAGGAAACAATTGAGACTTTCTTGATGTTAGGGGGACTGAAAGTGTGTTCTTAAGCTGAGCCCAAAAGTTTCTTACATCGGGCTTTGCGTTTTCGATAGAGTTTTGAACCTTAGGCTTCCTGAGGATTTTAGGATCGCAATATTCTATTATAAACGAAGATCCACTCTACCATTCATCATGCTTGGGAGGATTTACTCTTTCAGTCAGTCTTTGGTGATATATTTCTTGAAGGGTAAGAACAATTTGGTCAGAAATAGACGTGCTACCAGTTGCACAGAGGATTGCATTTGATGAGCTTTTGATTTGATGTTGGTTATGTCCATAACAAATTTTAATGCTATATATTTTTTCTTGAAAAAATGGTGGTCTTTTTCGTACTCTACCATGCAAGTGACTGGAAAATAAGAAATGCCTGCATTGCATTTAATTTGGATCTTGTTCCTTCAGAATCTGCATTGGTAGCTCTGTATTTCTTTCTATAAACTTACAGTTATAATATGGATTACGAAACAAAAAGAACTATGTTGAGAGTAAATTACACTAACCTCCTGTTCTATGACTGCAGATTGGAATACTTGAAGATACCAGAAATCGTACCCTTCATGGCATTTTACGTGTCCAAAGTTTCTTCAGGGGTCACCAAACTCGGTGTTACCTGAAGGAACTTCGCAGAGGAATCATTACTCTTCAGTCTTGTATTTCCCTTTTCACCACTTTTGTTATCTCATATTCTTTTTAGATTTATATAAAGAGATGGAAACCGTAATTTGGTAACTATTAATGCAGTTATTAGGGGGGAGAACATCAGAAACGAATTTGCAGCTTCACTTCGGAGACATAGAGCTGCTGTCCTTATACAAAAGCGGATGAAAGCAATATTTGTAAGAAACAGAACGAAGAATACTAATGAAGCTGCAATTGTTATACAATCGAGTAAGAGTTCTAGATTCTTTCAATGCCAATATTTATGCTACCATTTTGTTGGTCGGATTTATGAAGTGCTCATAAAACTGAGCACCGTGATTTATTTTTTAAATTCTCCTGTCGTGAAAATCCAGCTTAGGGGGCACAGCAGGAGATCCTGATCAGTGGCTATTGCCTGTTAACATCTGTAAATATTTTATTACGTTATTAATTTGAGCTATATTTGCAGTCATTCGTGGCTGGTTAGTCAGAAGATGCTCAGGAGATTTAGGATCATTGAAATCTGAAGGCGTGAAGGTATTCTCTTTCCCAAAGTTGAGAAACTTCAATAAGCTGATGCAAGTTGGCTTTGCATTTTCCCCCCTCAAATAATTGTTCTTAGGATTCTATATAAAAAATTCATATTCGTGTTAACTTAAATTTCTGAGCTCTAAAACAGACAAATGAATCGGATGAGGTACTGGTCAAGTCTTCTTTCTTAGCTGAATTACAGCGTCGGGTGCTCAAGGCAGAAGCTGCACTGAGGGACAAAGAAGAGGAGAATGACATCCTCCACCAACGTCTCCAACAGTATGAAAGCCGTTGGTCTGAGTATGAATTGAAGATGAAGTCCATGGAAGAAGTGTGGCAAAAACAAATGAGATCCCTACAGTCCAGCCTCTCCATTGCAAAGAAGAGCCTTGCAATTGATGATTCAGAAAGGAACTCAGATGCATCCGTCAATGCAAGTGATGAAAGAGATTACAGCTGGGATATAGGAAATAACCATGGACGCCAAGAAAGCAATGGAACAAGGTCAATGAGCGCAGGCTTGAGTGTTATAAGTCGGTTGGCTGAAGAATTTGAGCAGCGGAGTCAAGTATTTGGTGATGATGCCAAGTTCTTGGTGGAGGTAAAATCTGGTCAAGTTGAAGCAAGTTTAAATCCAGACCAGGAGCTCAGAAGGTTGAAGCAGATGTTTGAAGCTTGGAAAAAGGATTATGGTGCAAGACTACGTGAAACCAAGGTCATTTTACATAAGCTTGGAACTGAAGAAGGTGCACTTGACAAAGTGAAGAGGAAATGGTGGGGAAGAAGGAACAGTTCAAGGATAAATTGACTTTTTTTTTTTTTGGTGTCCTTTTCTTTTTCCTTTGGCGGACAGATTCTCATTTTTGGGTGGGAAATCACAATCGTTTAGGGCGTCGTCAGCGACTATATGTAACATAGGAAAAGAATACAATAGGAAAAGTAAAATAGGAGCCATAGGAGATTAGGAGTAATGAACTTATATCTGAAAATGGGTTAGCTGCTGCTAGACCCTCTTATTTATGAGATTTTTCTTCCAGGCATCATAATCATAGAAGATATTTGTGCTAGAGTGGCAGTAAATTGAGACGTCAGTCCAAGCCTTTCCTTTCTTGGGTGGAACTGTCATTTCATTCCAAAGCAACCCAAATAAATACATACAAATGGAGGGGAAAAGAACATGATGACAAGTGTTATCTCATTATATGGGTTAGTTACCTAGATTGCATTATGCTATCATGTTATAGCAATAGCTAAGTTTTTGAAAATATTATTAATGAAAAGTTCTCGTTCAGTAATTTTTAAAAAAGAAAAAAACAATTAAGCCATTTTTTAAAAAGGGTTTCCAATTGTTAATTTCAAAACCTCCACTACAACGAAAACATATACAATAATAATAAAACCAAGGATAGAGGTTGCTATCCATTAATGGGCATTCTTGTCCATAGCAATTAAGTTGTCAAAAACATTATAAAAGTAGGGGGTTCAATACACATAACAATCCAGTGTATAAATTTTTGCAAGGAACTTTAGTTCACCAACTCATTGTTTGGTTCAGCAGAGGGGAGGGGAGAGAAAATAATAATACCTAAACTATAACATCCTTACTATTGTATTTGGTTTTTATTTTTATTTTTTAATAAATATATTAATCATATTGCAATTAAATTTTATTTTTTAAGAAATCTTTTCACTTATGTAAGTAAACAAATATGATATATTATTCATAAAAAATGTTGAAATGATATCACGTACTAACAACAACAAAAAAGGACTCAAATGTAGAGTTTTTTTTTTTAAATTGAAAATGTAAAATGCATTGTATTATTGTTTGGCTTAGAAGGACGTAACAATAAAGAGACAAAATTTTAAGCTTGTAACTTTTACGGACCATTAAAAACACCTGATCCATAATTACCGCCTTGCACATTTGAGGAGGACACTGGATAATTATTGTCAACTTGTCACCGTTATTCATGAAAAAGTTGAATATCTTGAACATTTTTTCAATTTCACATCCACATTCTTCAATCAAAGCCATGACTTTTTCCCGAGGGTTGTAACAGCTTGGAACTAAACCCTTCTAGTATAGCATAGCATTGCCTTATAACATTTGCCATCTCAAACATTCTTTCTCTTTAGTTGAGAGCATTTTTCTTGTCTTGTTGCAAGAACTAGTTGCTCCACGTAAATTATTTGTTGGAAAGACATTAGGGCTATCATCATCATTAACACAACAATCGACATTCCCCAAGTGAACTTCATTTTGAGAGATCATGCTATCAATGTCATAAATAATTTCATGGAATAACACTTCAATGGTTGAATGTTTACGTTTCCTCATCTAAGATAGTGTCTCTTGCTCTTCTCCGATGCACTATCATTGCCATAAAGTATAATAATCTTTTCATAATTTAGAATAAAGACTTTCCTCCAAACTGCCGCTTTTTGGTTAGTGAATCATTTGCATTGAAAGGAATTAAAAAATATAAAATATGATGTATAAGATATCAATATTATAATTTGTTATGAATTTTATATTTTCTTTTGATATAATTTAGTAAGTTAATAATTCGTAAATATGATAATGATGAATTTGATTTTGATTTACAAAATTTAATTCATCATATCAAATCATGCAAAATCTTAATATCATTCTTTAATCATGTGTTTTATAGTAGCCATAAAATATATCATCTTTTCATAATAGGAAGAAACGAGATCACAATAGCGACAACAAGCTTTATAATCAATCTCAATAGCTATGGCATGGACGATGTCGATTCCTATAAAAAAATTTGGGAGGTTGTGTGATAGTAATTTAGCAAGAATTTTTCGCACCTTCTTTACATAGATTGTTTTAAGGGCAATGTTGAAATAACAAAAAAATATAAAGTTATTTTACTCATATTAAAATATATTTGTAGCATCCCCACCAAATTTCCCTTCCCTTTCTCTCCATTTTTTTTTTTTGGAACCAAACAATGGGAGGGTAGCAAAACCCCTCCTGTCCCTTCCCCTTTAAATCCCAAAAGGAGTAAGTAAATCGTTAACAAAACCCTATTTAATGGAATTATGTTTTTTTGAAGATCATTCTTAATGAGACATCTTGGACGAAGAATTCTTATGAACAATCCAATAAAATATTGACCAATCAGCACATTATGAACAATAGATCTATTATGAATAAAAGCTCCTTTATTCTCATTTTCTAAGTCATGCAAAGCAAGTTTCAATCTTTCACACATATTAGAAATACATTTATACAAGGTAATACAATTAGTAGAATTCGGCTTATCAATCTTGGGAACCGAGTTTCAATCTTGTCAAGAGCCTCTACGATCGCCTCAGACATTTCATCTTCAACGATGTCCCAAGTTTCCTGGAAAAACTTGTTAGCCATCTTTTACTACCTTCTTAGAGAAAAAGCTTGACTAGTTGACATTGATGCACAACATTGACAAGTGGTCCTTCGTTAAGTGGGTTTCCTATTATATGGAACTCCCAAAAGGCCTTAGAAGTAATCAACAAGGTGTTTGTTCCATTCCACCTCTTCTGGCTTGTACATCCACCAGACCCTTGCTCTAGATTTCAGTAATTCATGAAAATATGTTGTATTGAGGTGCCCCGGCCAACCTCAACCGATCTGCCTTGGTTTTTTATTTTTATTTATTGAAAGTTTAAACATTAAGATATTCCAAATAAGCTTCCCTTCCTCCTCTTGTAATCCCGTATTGGATAGATCATTTTGTAGTGCTTCCTGGACACCAGTCAACTAACTTTCAATGGTTTCAACTTGCTGATGGATATTAGGAAATTAAGTTGCCCCTATGGATCATCTCGTAATTGGATTTTGAGTGGAAAGCCAGATTTAAGCCGGGAATCGAAGGTAATTAGGCAACAAGGAAGAAGAAGAAAGAATGGGAAAAAGAAAGGAGAGAACAGTACCAAGATTTTTTTATGGTTGGAAAGCCTAGTTACTGTAGCTTGGGGAACAAGTTCTGGGGAAGTGGCTGTGTAACTATGAAGTATGAAGAGAGGGAGTCCAGGAGAGAAGTGACTTTTTCTTCTTCTCTCAGCCACATGGTACAAAGCAACAAGATAATGAATGAATTTTTTTAAAGGCTAAAGAAACCACTCGGTAGCGTACACAGTGGTTAGGACTTGCCAGTAATTTTAAATTGAACTCAAGATCCCCATATATATATATATATATATTTGGAAATATGAAAATTAAAAATTCCATAAAAATATTAATAACAATTATAAATTCTGAATTATTGAAATAACAGATCGTGATCATTACTAAATACATTTGGGATAATTTATAATGTAAGTTGAAAATTTACGAGAGTTAATTTTGAATAACAATCTTTTACTATCAATGTACAAATAAACCATTTGAAAATCAAGTAAATACATTTAAGATTATTTGTAACATCAATTGAAAATATATAAGAATCAGTTGTGAATCGTACGAGAATCACTTATGATTTTTTTTTTTGCTGTCAAATATATAGATAAATGCTTGAAAAATCTACTAAATATATTTAAAATTATTTATAATATTAGTTGGGAATTTATAAAAGTTAGTTGTGAATCGTAAGTCAATCTCTTATAATTTTTTGCTATCGCTTGAAAAATCAATAAAAGATAATTAAAAATTTTTGTAATGATAATTAAAAATATACTAAAGTTCATTGCGAATCTCAAGCCAATCAACAAAAAATAATTTATCACAAATAAGGACCATAATCTATTATTAAAATTTTAATAATTCAAAATTTATAATTATTATTAATATTTTTATGGGATCTCTAATTGTCATTTTTTTTTTTGAACGTTTCTTTCTCTCTCTTTTTCCCCTTCATTGCACGGGATGATTTCTTGAAACATCCTACAGGAATCAGTCACTCGTATTTAAATAAAAAATAAATAGATAATATTTTGTCTCCTTTTAGCCTGTATTACCCCAGGGGGTCCCATGTAGTTAAACTACTGCCTCTAAAAACTTGAAATTCAGTCAATGATCTGAAAAGTTAAATTAAAACAAGCATTCTATTTTTTTAAAAAAAATTAAAGATAAGCCCAGAATCAAGGATAAAATCTGTAAACTGCAATCTCACTGCTTATGAGCCAAATGTTCAAGTGTTCTAAATAGTTAAGCCTGAACACCCCCCCCCACCCCAAAAAAAAAAAAAAAAAACACAAATCATACAATGTCCTTATTGTATATCAATATTTTCAAAACCAAGCTAAATACTAAATCAAAAAAGTTAACAGTTCACAATTTGTATAATTCAATTAAGTTAAATCAATGGACAAACTGTTGACATAATAATTAAATTAAAAAATATATATATCATAATCAAAATATAAAAAATAAATATAAAATGGTTATTTAACTTAAAAAAATTAAATATTTAAATTTATCCTTACTTAACAAACCATATGATACAATATAATATTAAATTATTAAAAAAATTGGTTATTTTTTAAAAAAATTTGATAAATTTTTTTTTTGAACAATCTAGTTTTTAAAAACCGAATCCAATTTTCAGCTAAATTCTAGTGATCAGTTGACTATCGGTTTGAAACCATTCAATCTGACTCAACTCTCAAACAGTTTTTACATATTAACTGAATCAAAATTCAGACCAATCGCGAATCAATCTAACCGTCTAATTCAATTTGATTTTTAAATTAATAATATATATGCTAAAGCAATCAAAAGTAAAGGAAATATAGAAAAGAAAACTAATACTTCCCTTTGACCGGTGGTGTTGCCTAGTGAGGGTGGTTGTCAACTTGTCATAGCTGTCAGTGAATCTTTGAAAATTGCACTGAATGGAGAATGGACGTATGAGATTTGCAAAAACTCGGCCAAATATGGAAACAAAACCAAGTTATTCAGAAATTTGCAACAATTATGTAATCACTAATCGGAGATCACATAATAAGTTACTTAAAATGAACACGTGCAAAAATAAAAGATGGGAACATATGATGTAAAGTCAATAAAAAATAACAAATACGCATGGATGACATGGACTGTTAATAATTAGGCTCAATAGAATCCAAATAAGCAAAGTCAAGAAGAGTTAATCAACTCAAAATATTCATCAAATCTAAGAGAGCATAGTCTGCTAAATAGGATCAATTTAGAGCAAAATCAAGGAATATTCTTTTTCAAAGTAAAGAAAAAATGCAAGAAATACTAAATGAAAATTAAGATGAGAATGCAAGAAATAAAACTTCCCAATATTGTTGGATTGCTTCCCAATAATCATGATGGATTCCATTCACTCCCATTAGGCACCAATGTACTTAAAAATTCTTCACCATAAGAGTGGTTATCTACTTGTGCATTTTCCTTCTTTACTTGCTTGTTATTGCTTCCATTTTCCTTTTTAAGCACCTTGAGTTTGATTTCTTCTCCAATTACTCTTATGGTTATTTCTCCTTTAAGACATCAATAATAGTTCTTGTCGTGATTAAAGCAGGTGTAATAATCCAGAAATTTAAGTAAAAAAAAAAACAAAACTAATGATAAGGTATTTTGATTATAACTTATATATTGTTGGGGTAGTTTTAACAAAATGAATTAGTGGCTCAATGGCATTTTCCTTGGTCCTTAATTATTAAGCCTTCAGTTCAAACCTTCTTGTCTTCTTGAAGCACCAAGTGGGATTTTATTTTATTTTTCCAGCCTAAAAAAATTACAGATCTGCCCTTAACATCGTTAGATTTTTTTTTTTTTTTTCCTTCCATGATTTACTTTCAGCAATCTGCACGAGAGAGAGACCTTCGAATGGAAAAACCCTTGCCAGCCTCCAACTTTTCTCTCCTTCCTTCATTGTTCTGATGGTCACTGGTGAGCGTTTGGCTGAATCCCATCGCTACTAGGGTGTTTATATCAAAACCATGACTTCTCGTTTTTTTTCCTTTGCTTGGTGATCGCATGGTTCTGCCATTGCAGAGGTTCGAATTGCAAGTTCTTGATTCCCTTGTCATTGTACGTTCACTGTCAATTAGAAGATTTTAAATAGAACACTGTTGCTAATGGCAATTCTGTTAGCCTTTGGCATACCATGGTCAATAACTACTAGTTTGATTTTTGTAAATTTTGTTTTCACATTTGTTTATTTAGGGGTCTTGTACCTGCATTTGATTTTGTGGCTTCAAACTGCGTTTGGTTAGTATTACTCTCATAGACTGTGTGTTTATATTTGTTTCATAACTTATGTTACGTTTAATTATTTACCCTTGTGGACGTATATCCACATTTGTTTTTATGACTTTAGCCGCATTTGGTTATTTATCCTCATTAACTGTGTATCCACGTTTGTTTTCATGGCTTTAGCCGCGTTTATTTACTTACCTTCATGGACGTACATGGGGAAATACACTTTAACTCATAAAAGAAATAAAATGGTTTTTCTATATCCTTATAATTGGTTTTTTCTTTAAAAAATTCATACCCCTCAACAACTGCTAGTGGTAGCATTTTCTTTACTAGCCTGGAGATATGAAATCATTAAAGGAATCATTTTGGAAAATCATTTGGGCATTCTCGATTGAACCAAATAAACCAAGAATGTTCATAATTTCTATTAGAGTGTTATACTAGGCTTCATTGTAATCCAAATAATTGTATATCTGGCCATAATAATATATTGGAAAACTTTTGGCTGTATAAGGAGAAAAACTCCAATTAGTTGCAGTTAATACCTCGTGTATTTTTCTTTGGCTATAAAAATTTTCATCATTTTCTTTATAATTTATCTTGACGGATTTTATAGCCACCAAGATTAACTCATAATAGTTTCAGTCTTTCTATTGAAATAAAATTTCATATTTCTTCTTCTTCATGGCGGTGGAAAAATGACCTTTATTGTCTCAATGATGTTTTCCTTTTGGAACTCTGGTTTTAAAAGATAAACTGTCATGATATATTCTTTCGGAATGTATTGATTTATTTCTAGTTTTGTGGTTTTTGACTGGATGATAACTTGTTGATGCGTCTGAGTTTTACTAGCGTTGATTTTATTGGAAACATAGTCCACTACCTTATCTTATATGATTAGATAAGATTTTGTTTAATTTGCATTTGGACAATCCAAAAATCAAAGTCTGCCACTTGTCTCCCCTTATGTCCGCGTGCAGTCATACTGCTCTTTTCCATGTCCACATCAGTCAAATTTCATAAATTGTGTGTCCGCATCTTTTTTCATGCATGGTAGAACGTTGTGCCTCACCATCTTCGCGCACGATGGACTTTTCTTCATGTAATCTCCACGCTCAATCGAGTTTCCAAAGGGTGGCTTTCTTCATGTTGATTGTTGGCTATGTTCGTAGGATGAGAGACTTGCTTCGTTACTTGTCCTCGAGCGGACAACTCTTTTTGGACTTATTCCTTGGCTTCGATTTGGTACTTCGCATTTTTTACCTTTTTATATATTATTTCCACTCATCCTAAAAATGTCCCAAAATTACTAAGTGAGGTACATTATTTAAATTTCTATCAATTTGCACATTAATTAGCAAATAAAAGACCAGAAAATATATATTAATTTAGGTAAAATACCCCCTTAATTATCACAAAGTCTTATAACCTCTTTTTGAATATTTTGAAACTCCACAATCCATTAACTATACACATTTCTCAACCCTGTATCTCTCCTGAACCCATTCATTATATTGAAAGGGGATATGCCCCTAAAGACATCTCTCCAGAATTCAATGTCTGGTTTCACGTTTCTCAACCCAATTACAGAATGTGAAGTAGATTGGTGTGCCTTTTCATGCTTTTGATGTTCCCGTTCCTCTCCCCAATCAACCTTGGATTATTTGGAACCGCTGCTCTAGTTTCTGCTGAATGGAATCAAGCGCAGCATATTCCCCAGCCAATTCATAATTCCCATAATCTCTTCCATTTTTCCTTCCATAAAATCACTCAACAAATCAAATTTTTGGCCTTCAGGAGTGTTAAATTGAAACGTATAAAAATATAATACTAAAAGGATGTAGAATATAAAATAGCATTTAGAAGATTATATAACACAAAGATTTTGACTAATTAATTTTTATGAAAATATTTATTATTTAATATTTTTTAGTGACGTAACCATATATCGAACATAGATATGAGATTTGGATTTTTTTTCTTTTTTCTTTTTGAGATATTGGAGCATACACCACCAAAAATGAAAACTAATATTTCATAGGATGTTAACGCAAAGGGTGGGACTTTTAAAAAAAAAAAAAAATTATGTTTTCTTACTCACCAAGCTCAGACAATTTCTTACTTAACAAGTAAACTATTTAATCCATACTCAGTATCTTTAATTCTTTAGGATTATCATGCTATTACTTGCACAAATACACCAATTGCCTGCCTAGTTATACAATATAACAATTAGCAAATTGGATGGCGTGGCAATTGCTGATTGGCCAAGAAATGTTGGAACAGCTGAAGAGATTGCTGAGGAGCAAAAGAAGGGACCTGGTGGCCCGCACCTCTGACGGTCACGAAAGTGAGCCCGTCGTATAAAACCGTCCACCCCCCCTACCTGCAACTCTTAATTAACATGTCTAAATCGAATATTTCATCCTCAAAAGTTTTGCATTAATAAATAAAGATTTACATAAAAGAATATATATGTATTGCTAAATATATGGTCGCATTAGATTACCTGCTTGCCAGCGTACCAAGGAGTCCAATCCTGAACGATGGGGAGGCCGAGCTTTTTGAGGGTGTATCTGGTTGCGGTTACCGGAATTCTTCCGTCCGTATCGCCACTGAAAAAGTGAGTGAGTGAAAAGTAAGGGATTCTGATGGCACACTGTATGATGAAATCAAATGTACCTGTAAAGCCAGATGCGGAGACCCGCGGCAATGAGGCTGTTGAGGAGAGGAAGCATGGAGGAAGGCGCGTCGTTCCAAAAGGTGATACTATTGCTGAACACAAACCCAATGGGGTTACGAGTCAGTTGGAGAAGAGCGATTTGCTGGAGAAGAGAAGCAAGGGAGAGAGAACCTGCAATGGGTCCAGGGATAAGGAATGCGGGAGTTGTTGGCGTGCAGGGCCTTCTGGACTTGAGCAAGGTTCATGTACTTGTCTGTGTAGTCTGATGCGCACGGATCGTATCCGTATCCGTATCCCCTGCGCGCGGGTCTTGTTGATGATGTGCAGGTGGGAGCGTAGAGGCTATACATGTCAATGATCTTGTACACATCAAAGTACTTATCCAGCTCCACTCTGCACTCCTCGGATTGATTGCGCCGCCTGAAATCGCACTTGGTGCTTATGTTCCGGTACAGGCCATCTGATATGACGCCGTGATCCCACGCATAATCTATCATCCCCTTTTGGTCTGTCTCGTCGTCCAGTAATGCGTTCCCCATCTGCACCCACAGCACCACATTTTCCCAATACTCAGCTCTCTCACTTCACTCACCCCACCAAATTAAAACCATCCCACCATCAATCCTTTCAAGTTTATGTACTCCTCTTTGCTCCCATCTCTGTTCTTCTTCACAATCAGCTCGCACATTTGGGAAACGTAGTGCCCTGACAACACCACCATCTCATCACGGCTCAACTCATCCTACTCTCGTAATTTATTATCACATCATGTATACCTACCTGCATAGCTTTCCCCTGCGATGTAGAATTCGTGCGATCTGAATCGTGGAAACCGCCGAAACCACTTCACCATGAACGTGTCTGAATCCTTGGCTTCATTCACGCCCGTCAAAACCATAATCAACCAACCTCGTATGTGTCAATTCTTGACTCGTGGAATATTGTACGGGTAATTAATTGATTCTCAAAACAAATTCAAATATACCGGTGATTGTGTCGCCGAGTTGCTGAATGTCAGTGCTGGTATTGGTGTAGGAAAATCCGACTCCGACGGGGGATTCCAAGAACAGAAGATTTGCAGCTACGACAAGAAATACGAGCACGAAATTAATAGGCGTAGTAGTATAGCCTTTTTTTTTTTTTCTTGAATGATTCTACATTATCTATTGACTATTGTAAGAAAGGAAGAGTTATCTATCTATGCAGATTTATGATCGATGTAAACCTTTGTTCCAAGAATAAGGGTTCAGCTTGAGCTTCGGTTTGGTGCTATTCTGGGGAAAAAAGGGTCCTAGCTCCTCTGCTTCTCCATACCCAATTGACGAACATCCTGGACCTGAATAATTCATTCATTCATATAAATTTCATCGCTTCTCTACATACTGTTGGTTCTCACAAGGATTTTGCCTTAAATCTTTATTTATTTATTTTTATCATACGATATTAAGAATCTGAAGCATCAACCACCATTAATTAGACGGAGAATTTGGATTGGTTCATTGCCGGTGCATTGCTGCATGCAATTGCAAGTTTGCAACAGTGTCTTTGCTCTGTCTAACTGCGCTTCGAACTTCAGATACAATTTGTTTTCAAACTAGTGTCGTATATTGTTTTCTTCATCCAATATTTGTCTATGAATAATTATTTAAACGATATTTCGTTAAAAAGAAAAAGTCATTTTACCACTGGCTTAGTAACAGAACATAATATAATTCGTAAATTTGGACATAAAATAGCAAGCTAACGAAAATACCTCCACTAAGTTATAGGATAATTAAGTTTGACATAAAATATGAATAATTAATGAATGGGAACGAGTAATTAGCCCAAAAAAAAAAAAACCTCATTCAATACATCACCACCCCTAATAAAAGCTATGTCTCAGTCAAAATAACGTGGTCCTATTGTGTGGTCCAACCTCTGAATTATGATTAGGTTACAAAGTTTGATTATATTAAATAACATTTTTTGCTGGCCAGGCAAAGATGTTTTGATGCAATAGCGGTCCTGTGGGCGAAGCCGTTAGTAAAGTTCTATTTAATTGTTCGTGGTTCTAATATTTTCTTAATATAATAATATTTACATTTACATTATTATATTAAGATATTGCTCATAAATATAATGGTGAATTTATAAGTGATACAATAATAATAGGGAGAATTTCATTATAGAATTAAGAATGTGACATAATTTCAAATCAGTCTCAAGAAATTCTAAAATTACATTATAAGATCAAGGGATCAACTTGAAATTACCAAAACAATTAAGACTAAAAATATAATTTGCTCAAAAATATATCACAATTTTTGTGGACAATGTTGCTATCAGTATGAATAGCCTGAAAAAGTGGGTTCGCTTGAATGTCAAGCAAAATTCATTACTCCGCTTCCATCAACGTTCTCATTATGGCTGTTTCTGCTCCAACTTGAAGGTATTGACTCGAGAATTTAATCTGGTCAAATATTCAATACCCACATGCATGTTTGACGAATATTTTTTATATTTTACTATTTATTTTATTCAAAATAAAAAATTATTTTTAATTTCAGGTAATTAATTCGATGCTTTTTTAAGTTGGATTGTAAAATTTTATGAATTTTCAGCTTGCATGCGACTCTTGTAACTTCACTGAACTTTTAAATTTGCAAAACACTTTTGTTACAAAAACCTCTTAAATTTCAGTTACCTATAGATAATCACTCTAAATTTTCAGTCACTTCATATAATTAGATGAGTCTCATGCGTTCAAGAAAGACTGAAATAAGTCACACTATTTAAAATTTATTAATATATTACATTTTATTAGGGGAAGAAAAAGAAAAACTAATTAGGGAAAGTCATATGCTTAAACAATTAGGGGATTAATTAGAGTAAGAAAGTCACCTACAAATCACTCGAGATTTGTAAAAGATATACACTTTAATGCTAACAATTACAAAATCCTAACCAACAGTATATATAGTAGGAGTTGTATGGCATATGTCTAAAAAAACATTAGTCCCTAAATGTTAATAATAACTTGGATCAACATTTTAAATAAGTAAAAAAATAATAGATATTGAATTTCAAAAGTTAAAATTTAAAGATTGAGTTGCACAGATTCAAAATTCAATGTTTGAGTCAAAAATATGGGAACAAAATTAAATGATTAAGTTTCTCGATAATATTTTGATGGTCATAAGTTTTGTTAATTTTCTTTTTTGGGGGATGATGGGGAGGTTGTGATGATTTTATGAGTTTTTTACTTGGGTGTATGTGATGATTTTTTATATACTTTTCAGAGTGATAAAATTAATAAATTTTTGTGATGACACATGAATACATATAGTGGAACTATGTGCATATATAAGAAAATGAGTACAAAATAGAATTTCCATGCTGCTAAGACGCGTGTTAATTAAACCCCATTTGCGGTGCCTGTCTCTTGATGCGCAAGAGTATAGAGACACTTGCTATCAATCATTAATGTGGCAAGGTCCACACATTAAATATGATAATGTGACTGAATGAGAACACACACATGAGCACAAACATGCATTTGAAGACTGAGTGATGAAGAGGCATATATGAGAAATAATGATGTGAATATATATATATATATACATACCTCCATTGAGCCAGAGGAGAAGAGGTTTTTGGTGAGGTTGATGAGAGGACTCGAAGAACCAATAGAAGAGCGCTCTTCCATGAGACTGATTGACAGTGATATAACCTGCATATTGCTTGAACTTCACTGCAGGCTGGCCTGGTAATCTCTCTACTATGTCTGCTTCCTGCTCTTCCCACCTCCATATCTCCTTCTTTGACTCGCTTATACTGCTTATATTACACATCAGCCCTAGCATCACACCCAATTTAAGCTTCCAACACCACACGCCCATCTCTCTCTCTCTCTCTCTCTGTGATGTATCAGAGGCACTTCTAACCTCTCTCTCTCTCCCCTTTTCAGTTCAACACATTCAGGCCAGGCGTGCACGCTGCTTTAAATAATGAGTGCGTCCATCCCAGGTAACTCTCACGTGTTTTGTTTTCATTTTCTTTTTTAATTATAGGTCAATATCTTTCCCCATTTCTAGTTCTCTCACTGGTCCCTCTGAACATGAGCTTCATTCAGGTGGGGTCATCCCTTCATTAATAATATCACCCACACTGATTAATTAACATAAACTTTCTCATTCATTCAATTCGTTCTTCTCACACCAGCCTGCCTGGACTAGTTATTTTTAAAACAATAAACATATTAGTGTCACTATATATATTAATACTCCCTCAACCTCCCATGTCAACAAGTCAATCCACTTAACTTCTTGATTATTCTACATGTTCATGTAATGCGCGCCAATGTTCATAGTGATCAGTCAGATTCATGCTTTCAATTTATGTGTCTAAGGATCATGAATCCTTTGCCCACTGATTATATATGATGGAAAATTTTAGAGAAATTTATAAGAAACTTGCGTTGGTTTTCAAAAAATGACACGACCCTGTGTAATTTCAGTAAATTTAATTCATTCAAGAAAAATCCGCATACTTTGTTACAAATACTAAGAAAAACAAGGTAGGATGTAAATATCCATGTCCCGTTGCACATCATGATTATAAAGAAGCAAGACGGAGAGAGTAAGCAATGATAAATAGGCGTGAGATATGATGTTGCTTGCGATGTAAATAAATTAAAGGCCAAAAAGTGGAATTGTTCAGAGCTTTGTGAATGATCAGTGCATGGCATACTATATTTTGATTTCGTATGATCCGAGTAGGTGATGAAGAGCCATGATTTGCGTTGCGCTCTCGTCAATTGTTTTGCCTTCAAATCTTTGGATCTATAAGCATCTCGCATTAATGACCACCACATAAGATTTATTAAAAATTGTACAGGCCTTCTCTCCATTTACAATTTTGTACACAATTCTCTAATGAAATAAAATTTCAATATAATTCTACACATTCTGATTTTTTTTTATGAAATTGCGTTGATTTCCTTTTACATAATTTAAGAAATTAAGTTTCGATAAAATTTTGTATGAGTTATTCTTTATTTTCAGAAAAAATATATATGTAAGTTTTGGAACTAGCTAGAAGTTTGTGTTATTAATTTAAACAAAAATGAAGGGAAGTCTCTCTGTGTGTGCGTGTAATTTACTCAATAGAGGAGGAGAGAGATTTGTACTAACTAGAATAAAAGTTAAGAGAGATGTGTATAATTTACTTATAATTTGAAGAAGGCGAAAGAGATAAAAATACCCATGAAGTTATTGTTCAGGAGAATCTATCCTAAAGTGAATAAAAAAGAGCAAAAATACAAACAATGTTACCTAAGTTAATGCAAAAGTGACTAATCCACTAAATTTCTTAAATGTTAACCGCTTAATTGACACTTAAACAGTCATTGATCATTGTTGTCATGGCATAGACTACAAAGGGGGCAAAAATACCCACAAAATCATTGCATAGGGGTATCCAATAATTTAAAGTGAGAAAAAAGGATAAGAATACCCATAACGTTACTTTAATAGGTACAATACTGACCAATCTATCAAAATTCATGCCATGTGATTTCTTTCCATCCAACGATACCCTTAACAAAGATTTCAAACATTTCTCGACAAAGGCTTCTTAGAGAAATTTATGATGATTAAGTATGATCTTATCAAACCCTCTCAACTAGGCATTGAACTTGAGCCACCAAATTGGCCAAAAAGAGATGCAATATTGCAAATGAAGTTAGAAGGGAAATTGAGCTGCAATTATCAATTCAGATCATGAAAAAGAAGCTTTAATAGTACAAGAATTTTAAAGAAGCTAGTAATTTAACTTGTTGTTTGATTAACATGACATTTTTCCCACATGTTATTCATGTTCCATACATTTGAAAAAGAGGAAGTAGTAGAAAAATGGTGGTTTGAGAAGAAGAGGAAGTAGCAAAAGAAGTGGTAGTGGGCATAGTAGAAGTGGAACTAAGGATATGATAAAAGAAGAAGAGGCAGATCACTTCCTATGTTACTTATGCTGTTAAAACCAAAGCCTCAAGTGGAGAGCTCATGATCATATGATGACCGATCGACCTTTACAAAATTCCACTTACGAATATTTTTTAGTTCACATCAGTAAAAGAAATGGTCAATTTCTGGCTTGATGTCAGTTAAATAGTCAACATTTGAGAAATTTGATAGATTGAATACTGTTGCCCTATTAAAGTAATATTATAGGTATTCCTGTCTTTTTTTCTTACTTTAGGCTATTGAATACCCTTAATCAAAAACTTCATGATTATTTTTTCCTTTTTTAGTCCACTTTAGCAAAAAAATTGTCAACATTTTTGCGATATTTAACGGATTGGTTACTCTTGTACTAATTTAAATAACATTATAAATATTTTGCCATGTTTCTCACTTTAGGTTACTGAATACTCCTAAATGACGATTTTATTAGTATTTTTCCCCTTTGTCCCTTAAAGAAATTGTTAACATGTGATGAAAACAATATTCATGATAAAATAATGTAATCTTAAAGTTATAGTATTTTATCATGGATATTTTGTATAATATAATATTAATTTTGAATAAATGATAACAAATCTCCTATATGTTTTAATTTAATCATAACTTTTATTGTTAACTCGGTGGTCTGGCCTGATGAAAGGTAGCCAAAAGGAAAGATGATAGCATGGGTTAGAAAAAAAGAAGACTTGGCGTTAAATAAGATGTCAAAATGTCGATGTGTGGCCAGGAGACTTCCCTGGAAGAGGATACATATATAATAAGCACAGGTGCGGGTGTGAAAGAAAAACAGATGAAATACATACATATATATATATATATATATATATAAGCACACATGTTGTTACCAAAGATACGAAGCTTGAGAAGATTAAAACGAAAGATTGAAACAAGTTCGAGGTCCTTTATTTACATGACTTGAAAATTACTTATGACCCTGTTTGAAAAACAGATAAGTAAACGGTTAATTTTGCCCTTAAATTTTAGATAAGGGAGCATTTAAAATCCTAAACTTTTCAATATAATGTTGCCCCTTAATGCTTAAAAACATTACATGCAAGAGATTATAACTCAATTGGCATGATCCATACCCCTTGTTGCCCAGGGTCCCGGATCAAATCTCCAAGTGATCCAGGGAAATATTAGTAGATGTGCGTGTGGGGGCGGGGGGTGTTGTGTTTATATGTGTAAACCCCTTTCCTATGGGAAAGGGTTAGTTTAGGATAGTTAAAAAAAAAAAAACAAAGAAAGAAAGGAAGAAAGAAACTTAAAAACATTACAACGGGAAGCCTCCCATTAATTACAAGGGTATGGGTGAATGATGATGAAGTGATATGAAAGAAAATGGAAGCGCCACAACACTAAACTAACACGGAGCTGGGTGTGCGTACGTATTTGGTGGTTGAGAATGATGAAAGTACAAGGCAGAAAGAGGTGGGTAGGGAAGGGCATGCATATAGTATACATTAAGAAAATGAAAAAGTCTTGCATGAGAAGGAGTAGCGGGAAATAAAAGCAGAAGAGTATATATATGAATTAAAATAGAAAAGAAAGACGCGGTCAAGGGTGGTGAATGGTGGAGGGCTGGGCGAGCTGGAGATAGGGATGGAGAAGAGGAGCCTCGTTGTAAAATGCCAGCTGCTCCACCATCTGCTGTCCTCCGCTTTCATTCTGCCACTGCGACAGATAACTGTTCTCTTCTTCCATCATTCTTTCCTGTTCAACATGCATGCATTGTACTTTCATCTATCATTCTCCATCTTTTTATCATATCATATCATCTGCTTTAACCTAAAATATCCCTCACCTTTCTTCGCAGATTATCCACCTGCTGTTGCAACAGATCATTCTGCATCCATCCCACCAGTTTAACTATATTATTAAGCTATATAAATTCATAATTAATTAATTGAAAACCACCATAAATATATTCTTAATCCTGCGTCCGTACCTTGCGATTTCGGACCTTGGTGACAGATATCTCCAGCTCTTGTTCCAGTTTAGTCAGTTCCTCGTACTGTAAACTGCCCATGCTGTCTCCGATATACCTCTGAATTCCCAGCTCCAGACGCAGAGTCTCCTGCCTCAGCATTGCCATTTCGCTGAATAAATCTTCCTGCACAAGCACACCCCGCTGCTCAAAGCTAAGCATGCTCATCAAGACCCTTTATTTCCAGTCATGCAGTGCACGTAAATAACATTTTAAATAGGTCTTGTATATATTTATACCCGATTATCATGTTCCGGTATGCGTACTCCTGTAGCTTTCTGGTATCTTTCAATGACCTGCTCCATCCTGGGAAATTAAGTTTCAAGTTAATGATTTCTCATCAAGCCAAAAAAATAAATTTACTTTGCCACATTAATATGTGCAAGTCCATAATTATAAATTTAATCTTCAATTAATTACAGCGGTATATTCGGTGAATCCAACTATACAAATACTGAAATTATTTTATAGATAGTGTAATGATGTTTAAATGGCATACAAACAACTGAGAAATTAAAAGAGGAGGCATATTTCATTTTCATATATATAACCAAATTAAAAAAAATAAGTAATTGGAGGGGAAAAAATCACAAGCTATCAGTCCTCGTCACTGATATTGGTTCAGACACGAAGAATATATGAAACGGCCTTACTCATCTGTGTGTGTGTGTGTGTGTGTGAGAGAGAGAGAGAGAGAGAGAGAGAGAGAGAGAGGGAGAGAGGGAGGGAGGGAGTGTTCTTAGGGTGCGATCTACAGAAATGATAGAAAGTGAAAGATATCGGCCATATGTTTCCTGAAGAAAGAAATAACCAAGAGATGATGAAATCAACTCATGCGATGCATACTGTGATCTCTGTGTCAGAACCACAAACTGAAAAGTCCAATCTACTCAAGTAGGTCAACCTTTCGTTTCAGAATATGGCAGCCATAGCCCTAAAACTCATGAATATCACCCCCTCACTCCCTCCCTCTCTCTCTCTCTCTCTCTCTCTCTCTCACATCGCTAGTGCTGGCTTTGGAGAGAAATTCGTCGTTCCACATTCAGAGTAATGCACAAGATTATATTATTGTATTTATTCTCAATCACAGATCATCAACTTGCACAAAAGAAAAAACAAGGATATATTTAAATTTCGAAATAATAATAAGTATCGTTCTTTTTGTCACACACAAACCCTAGCCAGTAATTCAGTTATAATTTGGAAAGAAAAATGAACAAATAACAATGACGAAAAATTGTACCATTTAATTTATTTCAACTCACAGATCAATTTGGAAAAAGCAAACTACAAGTTAAAGGCACGCTCACACGCCATCGTAAGACGTAGTTGTAAGACAAATTAGGGCAGTATAATAGAGAGCTCGAGCGAGCTCTCACCGTGAGATCTTCTTGTGATCTGTGATGTATAATATTTACATTATACATATAGTGCGCACAGTTAGAGATTTACATATATATATATATATATATAAACAGGAGAAATTAAGAGACCTGAAAGGTTCGCTGCAGTACTGAAACATCTTGCCGGTGCTAGAGAAGATGATGAGGCCAATTTGGGCGTCACAGAGAACAGAAAGCTCATGAGTCTTCTTCACAAGTCCAGCTCTGCGTTTTGAGAAGGTCACCTGTCTGGTGGTGGTGTTCTGAATCCTCTTGATCTCGATCTTCCCTCGACCCATCTCACAAACCTTAACTTGGTCCACCATTTATAAGTGATTTCTTGTTGCCAGTTAAAGAAATTAAAGATCAAAAGCACAACAAAATTAATCATACCTTTGTTTTCCGCCTTCTGAGTCTGCTCAGCAAAAATGGTGATGCGCACTGCAATATAGATATTATTAATAATTGGTAATTTAGTATAAGCAATTAATCTGGCTTCATTAGATTAGGTTCAGAATAGAGTAATTTTGGCATCATGAAAACACAGAAGCTTTCTTAAAATAAGGGAATGAAGTAAAGAGACACCATTAAAGATGTGATGAAGAATTAAGTGGGAGCTTGCGTGCTGGCATTTTAGGAGAGTGAGTATTCATAAGAAGAAGAGAGGGGAGAGAGAGAGGAAGAAGGCGTAAGTTCAAACCTCAACTTATCTTCCTTTTCCTTTCCTTGGTCAGAATGACTTGAAACTCCAACTATTTAAAACCTAAACAAAATTTCTGCAACTCGTTGAAATTCCAAAGCTGCCACAGACAAAGACATGGCCCCAATTTCATAAAACAAAATAATGGTGTTAGTTTTGAATTGAGAAAACGACTACAAAGTTTTAGCACACACAAAAATTGTAGTGATTAATATATATATATATATATATATTAACAGTTCATTGCATGGATCAGTATTATAAATAGAAAAAATATATAATAAGGCGAAAAAAGAAAAAAAAATTAAAAGACTATATATATGGACTTTCATGAAAAATTTAACCTAGAGTCTTTTATTTTGATGGGCTATATATATACATTTTGCACAGAAAAATCATATATAAGAAAATCAAAGAAATAATTAAAAAATTAGACTTTCATGAAAAATTTAACCTACAGTCATTTATTTTGAAGGGCCATATATATACATTTTGCACAGAAAAATCATACCTGAGAAAATAAAAGAAATAATTAAAAAATTAGGCTTTCTCAATTTATGAGTATCATCCTAAGACAGGGACCATACGAATATTCTCTATAGGGCCAATTTATAGGATGTACCCAAAAGGGAAAAAAATAGACTTTTAACATAGCTATTTGATCTGTAAAAATTAGCTAAAAAGAGTGATTTTTTTAATGAGAGCAATTTTTAATTTTCCATCGGGAAAAGCTAATGAGGGGTGTGATGGTCATTTCATTCTTGATGTGGTTTACATCTCACCTCCTGCAGGACGCAGGTCCGAGGTGAAGCGTTTTGTTCATGAATCTGACAGCGTGGGCCCCGTTTCATCAACTAGGGTAGATGAACTTTGCCGTTTTTGGTAATGACAGGGTGACAGTCCTAACATACCCTCCGTAGAAAAAATAAATATAGAAACAAAAGAGGGAATATTATATTTTTGTTTCTATTTGTTTTCAATTTTTAAGTTAAATTTATATTTTTCAAAATCTTGTAAGTAGGTCCCTGCAATTTAATTTTTTTTTAGTGCTTATTTTGTACTTTTCATATGTCTAAAATGCATACGTCTTCAATAGAAGATAAAGAGAACCAAATATAAACTCTTCTCAATTAAATTTATGTTATACATAAAAATGGAAAGTAAAATTCCAACTTTGTTTAAGAGATAGAGCATCTATAACTCATATACTATAAGTTAGTATTACTTATTAATCTATTGTGAAATTAAATATGCATTTTATTATAAAAATATATTTAAAAATAATAATATATAAATTTTATTTGATTAAATTAGTGAAATTTTATTAGGTGAATCATGAATAACGTGGTATGCTGAATCCATTTAAAAAGTTCTCCATTTTGTAATATACATGAGTGAGAGAGAGTTATAATAGTACTTCTCTTTTATGCAATATATATACTTGACTATATCTGCGCGTTTTTAGAGAAGCACTTACAAAATTTTAGGAATAGAGATTACGTTAAAAAAATTTATTTATAATGACCAAATAAAAAATGGAATAAACTTTTTAAAACGAATTGAATGAAATTTATAGGCACTAAAGATATAATTTTCTTGAAAACTAAAATATACAATTATGTTCTGAATTATTGGTGCCATTCCGTGTCATAAAGTGCAGAGTGGAGGAACCAAACCGCTTTGATTCTTTAGTTCAGAGGGCATTATGAACTTTACCATATTTAGAAAAGTGTTAAGAATATTGAAAACCCAAAAGGGGGAACTCAAACTGACAAATTTGGCAACGTGAAATAGCGACGTCGTCTTTGGGATGCACAGATAAAGGATGAATTGGCAGACTTGCATGTGGTTTACTCATAGTCACGGATGACCGGCGACTAACAAGCAACGCGTAAACTTCAGATTCTGAAAACTCCACTTTTCACACTTTGTATGACCAATTTATAGCAAATGCGTGAACAATCTTAATACCAAAATATTCTTGTAGTTTATGTTTCAATATATATTTTTTAGAGCTGTAACCCACTCAAAAAAAGTTAGAGTCGAGCTTAATTATATAAGCTTTTTAAATAGAGTATGATATTACAAGCTCAATCCGAATAAGTTAGCCTGAATTAAGCCTATAACCATTAGAATTTTTAACTTTATATATGTATAGAGTTAATAATTTTGGTCAAGTCTGAACTCGGCTAAAAAAAATTAGAGTCAAGTTTGGTTATATAGACTTTTTAATATAATAGGATGTTTTAAGCTCGACTCAAATTGAGCCTGGTTAGCTCCAATTACCAATTCTAATATTTTTTATATCAAAAAAATTCTAATTTCAAAGGCTATTTTTTGCAAATATCATGTTTTTCCTTGCCAAAAAGAAAAGCTTGTGTTTTTAATGTGAATAATCATCAATTATCTGATATTATGAGTTAATCACAATTCAAGTCATGTTTGGCTCCAGATAAACGAAAGAGAGAATGACATTTGGATACCTTGTAAGAAATCATTAGCACCTTGGCACTTCGAAGTTTGAACACATCTATCTACAAGATGGTTTTTGAAATTATTGGCAGCTACTATGTCATACCATATCAATAATAACCAAAGTGTCAAAAGTTTTTCCACAAGGTATCCAAATGTAATTTTCCATAGAATTGAACAAGTAGGCCTTCCAGTATTTTTTTGACTTTGTGATATATAGTGTCTAATTATATCAGCCTCCAATTTATCTTTCTAGCTCTAACTATATATATCGCCTGTGTTCCTTAGGTGCAAAAAAATGAAAAAAAAAAATTACAGTGACAGTGAAGTTAATTTGTGTCATAGCCTTAAAAACATATATATATATATATATATACTTATTTAATTAACATATAATAACTTGTTAAGAATATATTTTACTTATGTTTGGGATAATTATAACAATATGAAGTATTGGTAGAATAGAAGTATGTATGCCAAGCTATCTGAAGGTTCCAAGTTTGAATCCCTGATGCAGTAAAAGGGGATTTTATTTTATTCAACTTCTCTAAAATTACATAAATACCCCTCCCTCATCAGATTTATTTTTCTTCTTCTCTCCCTTATTTGAGTCGGCTATAGAGTACAAGAGAGAGCTAAAGAGATTTGGAATTTTGGGGTAACTCATCTCCTTGTCCCTTTGTATCTTCATTCCTCTCCTCAATCTCAAGGCTCACCGATGAGAATAGAGAGGTGCCATAGCTTGGAAACTTCTAAGAGGTTCAGTCTCGCATCTCTCGTCTCTGTTTCTCTTTTTCTGGTTGCCGTTCAGTTTTTGTCATCTGTGTTTGGGTTGTTCCTGGCGTGAGACCCAATCGTTGGAGCTGGAAGTTTTACTCATAAGTCTTTCCTTTTCCAACTCAATTGTGAGCTTTGTGCTCTACTTTACTGGTCTGTGCTCCCTGTTTCTGCGTCTTCTCTGTTTGTTGTCTGTCCATGTTGTTCTGGGCTAAGAAGTCACAAAGTATCAAGTGCTGGAGGGCTATTACTGTAAGCTCATGTTGGTGTAGGTAAATCATTCCTCTTCTGTTGTTGGGTGTAGTGATAACGTTCAGCTTATATCTCCCCTGTTTAGCATTCAAGAGCACATTCGTTTCTTCTTTCTCTTGGTTCACCACTGTTCAGGCCGGCTAAGTTAAGGTGACGGAATTTAGACCTCCTATTTATTAGCATGCTATATGTGTGAGAAAGAGTGTATGCTGTTGCTGCCTTATGTATGAAGTTACAAAATTTTTGGCTTTGTTCTGCTGCTGCTCGTACGTGTGTCAAGAAGATGAGTAAAATTGAGCTAGAAATTTTGAGATAGAAACCTATTTTAAAGAAGCCTAATAACACACACACACACACACACACATGTACGTAAATGGGGTAGAATAATGGGGTAGAATTATAGCTTTGATATATTACTTGAATCTAGGCTTCATTGAGATGCCTACTAAAATGTTTGAAAAAATTTTAAACCATGAATTTTGGTTTCAAATTTTAAATGATAATGGTTGATATATAAGAAGTAGAACGAAGTTTTTCTAAATTAAAGATGATTTGTTAAATTTTGTTTAATAATATCCTTATAGGACGTGCGGAAGAAGAGGATCCTGATAAAAATTAAAGAAAAAACATTTTGAGAATTTGAAACTTCAACAAGTAAGTGAATAGCATTCCTTTTAATTTATTTTTAATTTTATTTTTATTTTTAATAGACTTTCATTGAGATATTTCACTCTTATGAATTACATTAGTTTTGAGACTTTGAAATATCAATACTGGATAGTTAAAGGATGATATATGCATTTATTTCCTTAAGGAATTCATTTCAAAGATTTATGAAATTATTTAGTTTATTAAACTCTTGAAATCCTTAATTATTTAGATAACGCAAGCTTATACATTATTTATGAAAGACTATTTTCAACAAGTCTTAAATTAAAATTTAAAATGATTCATGCGAGCTTGGTATTAAAAATGCAGATTATATTTCAGAAATAATTATTCTTCTCACATGTTTGAAACGCAATTTTTGAGAAGACTCTAAACAAAACACTGCTGATAACGGCAGTTCCGTTAGCCCATAGCGCGCTATGGTTAAACACTAGCTAATTTGGTTCATGAGTTTTGTTCTCATGTTTGGTATTCATGGGCTTTGTACCTGCATTTGATTCCATGCCTTGAGCCTGTTTGGTCATTTACCTTCGTGGACTGTGTGTCCACATTTGTTTCGTAGCTTCGACTGTGTTTGGTTACTTATCCTCGTAGACTGTATGTCCACGTTTGTTTTCATGGTACAAGCCACATTTGGTTAATTACTCTCGTGGATTGTATGTCCATATTTATAACATGTTATGTTAAGTTCTCAAAATTTTAAATATTGACTAATATGTGTTTTTGAAATTTACATGATTTCAGCTAGCAATTATATCACTCTAAGTTATATATGAGTAAATTATTTTCTTTAATCATGATAATATAAATTGCTTTCAATTTATTTTCATTTTACAATTATGGTTATGACTTACAAGCTTATAAATTTATTTTGTAAATTACTTTTAATTAGTTTACACCATTCTTAGAGTTGTTGGTTTAAATTTTTAAAATTTTACTTTGGGAATGCTATTTATGGAAAAAAATTATTTTGGTCTCAGATTTGTTAACTGATGATGATCACACCATCAACCTCTAAAAGGCAAAATAGCTACAGTGGGTGGAAATTGTCACGCCCTAAAAATAGAGGGTGACTGGCACAGGTGTGAACCACTCTTACATTCCCGTAAGCCTCCAAGTGAATATTTATTCCATGTTACAAAAGAACAGAATAAAGCTTAATCAAATCATATGAGAATTAAAATAACTTTCTTAAACTCAATATCATAAGAGAGTGTTGATATTTTTGTAGAAATTTTGGCAAAACCTCCCCTGTAACTAGGATCTCCCGAAAACTCTACAACAAAATTTTTTTTATAGATAACAGTATAAATCAGGAGCGTAGCTCCTTCGAGCCATCAACCAATATACAGACCAAAATAAGGTTTATCAACAACCTATGTGAAGCATCTACTCTTTCTTTTAAATCAAAAAGACATACAAATTATATATTTACATTAAAGCAACAATACCAATCAAAATGTC